ACATATACAATCTCTCCGATAAAGAATTCAGAGATGAAATGTTGAGGACATTCAGTGAGCTCAAGGAAACGATGGAATAAACATCCAGTAAATTAAAGGAGGATATAAAAAAAAAGTGGAACAGATTGTCAATAAAATACAGAAAAAGATATCATTATAATAAAACACATTGTAATAAAATACAGTTAAAGATATAATTGCTGAGAAGTTCCAGAGCTGGAGAATGCAGGTATCCAGATCCAAGAAAGCCAAAAAGGTATCAGCTAAAAGAGACCCTAATAAAAAGACTCCAAAACATATCATAATCAGAACAATGAATACCACAGATAGAGACACAAAAATGCAAATAGTAAGGTCAAAGAAGGAAATCACATACAAAGGAGAATCCCTTAGATTAACCGCAGGCTTATCAGAAAAGAACATCTGAGCCCAAATACAGTGGTGGGATATAGTGGAAAAAAGCAATGAAATGAACGCCCCATCAAGAATACTTTATCTGGCTAAACTCGCACTCAGACTCAGAGGAACCATACACTATTTCATGAATAAACAACAGCTCAGGAACTTCATACTCAAAACCAACTTTAAAAGAAGAATCGAAAGGACTACTGTAAAACAAGGAAAACCCCACAGGAACAATATAACCTCTACAGAAAGATGGGACAAAACCCCATGACAATAATCTCTCTTAACATCAATGGTCTAAATGCACCAATTAAGAGACAGAGTGGAAAAATGGATTTAAAAATTGAATCCAACATTCTGCTGCCTACAAGAAACACATCTGAACAGTAAGAGTAAACACAGACTCAAAGTCAAAGCATGGAAAACAATCCTTCAAGCAAACAACTCCCTCAAAAAAGCCGAGGTGGCCATATTAGTATCCTAGAACATAGATTTCAGGCTGAAAAAGATTAGAAGGAACAGTGAAGGCCGTTTTTTAATAATCAAGGGATATAAACATCGGGAAGAAATCACACTAGTAAACACACATACACCCAATGAGGGGCTAGGTAAAAATTAAAACAACTGCTAATAGATTTCAAGGAGGACATTGGTAACAACACAATAGTAGTCGGAGACTTCATCACCATCTTATCACCTCTTCATGGATCAACAAGACTAAAACTCAGCATGGAAGTACTGGCTTTGAAGAAAGAAATAGAAGAGAGAGGGCTAATAGATGTATACAGGATTTTTTATTCCCCCAAAAACCAAATACATATTCTTTTCCAGTGCACATGGAACATTTTTTCAAGATAGACCATATACCGGGCCACAAAACATATCTCAATAGAATCAGGAAGATGGAAATTATATCAAATCTCTTTTCAAACCACGATGCATTGAAGATAGAAGTTAATCACACACAGAAACGAAGAATCAAATCAAACATCAAGAAATTGAACAGCCCAATATTGAACAATGAGAGAAAAATCAAGGAAAATCAAGATTCCTGGAAACAACTGAGAATGAAGACACGAGCTACCAGAACTTGTGGGACACAGCTAAAGCAGTGTTAAGAGAAAAGTTTATAGCTCTGCAAGCGTTTATCAGGAAAGAAGAAAGGGCCCACATAAATAACTTAACCTCACAGCTTAAGATCTTAGAAAATGAGGATATACAACGTACTGGTTGAACTCCACAAAAAGAAAACATTCAACCCCATCAAAAAATGTGGAGATGAAATGAATAGAAACTTTCACAAAGAAGAAATCCGAATAGCTAAAAGGCACATGAGAAAATGCTCCACATCATTAATTATCAGGGAGATGCAGATCAAAACCACAATGAGATATCACTTCACACCACAGAGACTGGCCCATATCCACAAGAACAAAAGCAACCGGTGCTGGCGCGGATGTTATGAGAAAGGGACACTCCTTCACTGTTGGTGGGAATGCCGACTGGTTCAGCCCTTTTGGAAAACAGTATGGACGATTCTCCAAAAATTAGAAATTGAGCTCCCATTTGATCCAGCAATACCACTCCTGGGAATATATCCAAGAGAGGCAAAAAAGTATAGTCGAAGTGACATCTGCAATTGTCTGTTTATTACAGCACTCTTTACAATAGCCAGAATCTGGAAAAAACTTGAGTGCCCGAGAACAGATGAAACTGTTAAAGAAACTTTGGTACATTTACACAATGGAGTACTATGTAGCTGTTAGAAAAGATGAAGTCACAAAATTTACATACAAGTGGTACTACATGGAAAGTATCATGTTAAGCAAAATGACTCAGAAAGAAAGGGATAGACATAGAAAGATTGCATTCATCTGGGGAACATAAAGTAACAAAATAGGAGACTAACACCCAAGAATGGCTGAGATTAGTACCAGGAATTTTACTGCATGGCTTGAAGGCCGACCACACATACTAGGGGAAAAGGGAGTTCAGATAAAGAAGGGAACACCAAATAAAGGTGTTGGGAGGATCCTCCCAGGATGGGAGAAGCATGCAGAAGGTAGACTATAGACTAAACATGATTGTCACCCATTGCCTCTTTTGCAAACCACAACACCCAATAAGAGAGAAGGAACAAAAGGGAATGCCCTGCCACAGAGGCAGGGTAGGATGGGGGAGATGGGGGGTGGGAGGGATACTGGGATCCGTGGTGGTGGGAAATGGGCACCGGTGGAGGGATGGGTATTTGATCATTGTATAATTGAAACCCAAGCACAAAAATGTGTAAGTCTGCAACTGTACCTCATGATGTCTCACTATTAAAAAATCTTTTTAATAAAATTTTTAAAAAAGAGGAAGGAAAAGGGGAGAAGAGGTTGGGATGAGTTCTGGGTAAATCTGAGCCTGCAAGGGGTAGGAGGGAGCGAGAAGATGAAAGGCAGAACAGATGGCACCATTCTGAGTGGCTTATCGGAAGAACGATGGGGAGTCCGGATATGACTGTATCAGGTATGTGGTACACTGTAGAAGGGACCTCAAAGACAAATGTCTACATACCTCTGGAATTTTACCTAGCAAAAAATAATTTTGCAGGTGTGATTAAGTATTGTGAGATGGGAAGATGATTAGGTGGGCCCTGAATGCAATAATAAGAGTGATCTTTGGTTCCAGCATTAAATAGCAAATAGAAGCAAGAGCCTAGATCTTCAGAACAGTGGGAATACTGTAGTTTTTATTCACCTCACCAGGGGCCTGGACATTGGGAGTGTCTAGGTTGACTTAGTATAGGGTCTCCTGACTCCTTCTAGGAGTAAGCCCTGAGCATCAGCTGTGCCCATCCCCCCACTCAAAAAAAAAAGACAAAGCCAACTACTGTGGTGGCTTTCTGGCACCCTCCTGTACAGTTTTGGTCAGGTAGACTGACCAAATCAGGCAGGCTGCCTGTGATCTGTGCTACCAATGTGTGAACATTGAAGGGAAGGAATGCAGGAATAAAGAGGAAGGAAGTGAGGGAGGGAGAGAGGAAGAGAAAGAGAAAGAGAAGAAAGAAAAAAGAGAGAGAGAAAGAGAGAGTGACAGACGGACAGGCAGATAGTCAGGGAGCCATCTTAAGAGTCTATCAGTTTAGGAATAAGGAGGGGATGGGGCTTGAGATGTAAACCTGAGGGTAATACCCTTCCCCCCCACCCCCAATAAATCACTGAGTCGCCCCCCCACGAACAAGCCCTCTGGCTACTCAACAAGCTGCTTAAGCCATTGATCCCAGGGACTCAGAAACAAACCCAGCGACTTTTGGCAGAAATGCATAAGGACTCTCCCTTAGGCTACCAGCCCCAGGCCCCCATCTTCCAGAGGCTAATGGATAGCCAGATAGAGACCCGCAGCAAAGACACACTTGGGACCTCATGGGATGGGGTTGGGGTGAGCCCTTTCCTCCCCCTGCCCAATGAGACCCTGAGCTGCTGCTCAGGAACAGGCCCTCTGGCTACTCAACAAGCTGCTTCAGCCATGATCCCAGAGACTCAGCAACAAATCTCCGAACCCAGAGGCTTTTAGAAGAAATTCCTCCAGATCTAATAAGATTTCAGAATTCCAAAATCATGTGGCCACAATTTCCTGTTAATAAACAGCAATAGAAAACAAGTTGTCTAACGTTGCCTTTTCGGCAGATATGAGTGTTGGGATAAAATTCCAAATAACAATGGTGTCAAAATATTGAATGAATTCGAAATAGAGTAATGAGGAAATCATCTGCCACACATGTAGGGGGAGGGTACGAGATGGGGGTATACTGGGGGTTTTAGTGGTGAAAAATGTGCACTGGTGAAAGAAGGGTTTTCATCATTGTATGACCTGAAAGCTTTGTAACTGCTCTCATGGTGATTCAATAAATAAATTTATTTTTTAAAAAATCTCAGGGCCATATCATTTTAAAGTGTGGGACAGGGCAGGGAAGATACGGGCACTTGGCTTGCATGGCCCAAGGTGAGTTTGACCCCCAGAACCACGGAGGAGAGCTCACAGAAGAGAACCAGGAGTTGCCCCTGGGTCCCAGACCCCCTGTAAGTCAATTCAGAACTCTGTGAAGATGAGAGTGGGCTGCCACCTGCCTGTGAAAGGCTGGAGGCCTATCTGCCGTGCAGGTCACCTCTGTCACGGGGCATCTCCTCTGTGCCCACACCACATTAAGCAAGTGACCGGTTCAAACCCTCACAGCCACTTTCCTTCCCTTGCAAGAGAGTGGTGCCATGCGCGATCTGAGCTCGCTCCCCGGGGCAGGGCGCAGCACAGGCCCAGGACCATCGGGCCGCCCCGGGCCTTCGCCAGCAGCAAGTGATCGTCACTGGGGCAAGATACGGCCCTTTCGGGCCTCCGCACCCCGCAAAGTCGATCACGGCCAGGGCCGCAGGGCCGTAGGCGCCACCCAGAAGGCGAAGCTCCGAGGGGGGAAGGGAGCCTGAGCCGCAGTCGGGGAGAGCCTGTGACCCCGCCCCACACCCCCGCGCACGCGCAGCCGCTCCGCTCAACCCCGCCCCCAAGCCCCGCGCACGCGCAGCCGCCGCCGCCTTTCCGCGCACGCGCCAGGAGTGCCGGCTGCTGTTGCGGGACGCGGGCTGCGGCTATGGCGGCGCGCGGTGGCCATTGGTTTCCGGCCCTGGCGCTCGGAGTGACTCTCTTCAAATGCCTCCTCGTCCCTGCCTAGTAAGGCGCCCCGAGCCCAGAGGCCTGTCGGGGAGGCCCGCGGTCGAGACGGGCGGGAGGAGGCAGGCGGGACAGCAGGCGCCGCGCCCCGAACTCCCCTGCTCTCTGGGGCGGGCCGCTGCGGGCCGGGGTCTCCTGGGGGCCCGGCAGCCGCGCCGCCCGCCCCCTGCGCCCCGGGCAGGCCGGGCACTCGGCGGAACCGTGTTCTGCAGGGACTCCCCGGCCCTTGGGAGAGGACGGCGGGGTCGGTGGGGCTTCCTGCGTGACAAGACAAACGTGTTCCATGGGGAAACCTTTCCTAAAAATGTAGCAGACCCCTTTCGAGTCGGTGTGGAAGGGAATTTTCTGAGGCTACAAGACGTTTCTTGCTGTAGTTTTTATTCCTTTGGGCTGTTTTTTGAGAATTGCCCTCGTCAAGGCTGAGGAGCGTTAATTGTAGCCCAGGCTCAGCAGCTGGAACGCGGGGTCTGCAAGACAGGCAGATGCCATCAGGGAGGTGCTTCCTGGGGCCTCTGGCCAGAGAGTGGCCAGGAGGCCAGATGGACCAGGTGCCTAGACCCGCAGACGCTATGAAGCGGAGCATGGCAAATGGGACAGAGAACTTAACTGTTAGAAAGAAGAGCCGGTTTCTAACAGGAACTAACCAAGGAGAGTGCAGCTCTCAGGTGCTGGGAAGAGGGAGGCATGCCCAGGGAGGGTCTTGTTTTGCTCCCTAGGGGCTATCCCCACAGTGCCAGGCAGGTCCGGGCCTTCCTGTGCTGCTCTGTTCAGCAACACGCTGCTGTGGTGTGGTGCTGGGGGTCGGCCTGGGCGCCTCGCGCGCGTGAGTCTGGTTCCCAGACTCCCAGTGGGCTTTCGGTGCTGTTTCTGTTGGGTGCACATCTGGACGTGGAGCTGCGGGGTCATTAAAATCCACTTCGCATTGTGGTTTTGAGCAGTAGAGGATACTGAGGTAATATTGTTGGTAGGAGGTTGGAGAACTCCTACCTGTGGAACTCCGGAAAGACGCTGGAGTTGTCCACTGTGGCTTACTGTGTGCAGATGATAATGGGAGTAATGGATGTGAATAAGGTGGTCCCTGGTGGAGCAGTTTACATCAAAAGAAGACAGGTGGAAGCCTTAGGGATCAGCATTTGTTTATCCTGAGAAGAGATACAGAGGGAGCTGGTTAGTAAGCCTAGGAGAGCCTCACTGTGGAAATGGTCTGCTTTAAAGCCTACTTCTAGAACTGTGAAATCAATGTTACTTACTTGATTCCTCACATTGTTTGGCATAGCCATTCCACGGATTTTGAAGTACACCGGAACTGGCTCGCAATCACACATAGTCTGCCAGTGGCACAGTGGTATCAGGAGGTAAGTTTTAATCGTCCTGTTGTAGTTCTGAGGGTTTTGTTCTCGTGTTTTGATTTTTTGGGCCACCCTTGGTGTTTGGTGGAGTACTGCTCAGGGGTTGGTGTTTGGACCTGGGCTGGCCTCCTGAAGAGGCCGAGCAGGCGCTGAGCCCATTGAGCAGGCTTTTCAACTCCAGTTGTTTAAAAGTATGAAAGTCAGAGAACTTTCCATGTCATCATAGACCTAATTATGTCTCTGAAAATCACACTTCTGGGGTCAGGGAGTATAGATACCTCACCCCTTACAGTGGATTGAGGCTGTTTTGCCTGAAGAAGCCCCAGGTTCATTCCGTGGCACAGTGGGCGGGACCTTGAGCGCAGAGCTGGGAGTTGCCTTGAGTACCATCAATATGACCCCAAAAAGCACATGTTCTTTCCTCATTTCCCACCCCTATTTTTTACTCTTTACTTTGAAATGAGTTTCCCAGACTAGCAAGAGATCTAAGCACTGTCTCTGAATGCGGGAGACCTGGGTTTAATGCCAGCACTTGGTGCCCGCCCAAGCACTGCTGAATTTAATCTGAACCACTCACCACCCACTAAAAACCAAGGTCCCCAAACATAATTTGAAAATTGTGTTTATCCCAGGCTATTTGAAAAAGCTTTGTCTGGAAAAAAATAAAAGATCCCCATCATAGAAAATATATTTTTTCTCTCTGGGCCTTACTTTCTTACTGGCACTTGAGGATTTAAAATAAATCACTTTTTAAAACCTGTTTATTCCTAATAACTTATTTATGAGGAAAAAATAATAAAGTTTTCTGTAGTTATTTGGTAATAAACAGTCCCTTCTGCTATTATTACAAAGATCGTGTCAGTATTTCCTCATAGATGTACAGCTAGGAAGTGTTTTGGGCTTAGTGGTCAAACACTGAACCTCGGTTTTAGACTGGGATTTGAGCTTCATCACTGAATCCCTGAGTGAAGGTTCATTGGCAGACAGTATGACCTTTTAAGACCTCAACATTTCCAGTCTATTAAATGGCAGCAAATAATTATTAGGTTGAAATTGGTGTGCAATGTGTACAAAGCACTTACAGTACTTGGAAACCTCACTGGAGATTTTCAATCATTAGCCTTGTTAGGATAAGGGCCTGCATCCTTTCAGTAAACTCACTATTTCCTCTGACCATTCCTTCTTACTCTTTCCTGTCAACTCTTCATCTTCCCTCCCTTGAAAAAAAGCTAGGATGTCCTGAGCATAGAGCTGGGAGTAGCCCCTGAGTATGGCCAACTAGCCCCCAAACAAAAATAAGTTAAAATGTTTTTAAACACACAGAGAAAAAGATTAAAGATTATTTAATGCTCTTAAGTGTCTTTATTTTTTTATCAGTGAAACACCATGAGGTACAGTTATAGACTTACAAATTTTTGTGCTTGGGTTTCAATTATACAATGATCAAGTACCCACCCTCCACCAGCGCCCATCCTCCACCACCACGGGTCCCAGCATCCCTCCCACCCCCCATCCCCCCATCCCACCCTGCCTCTGTGGCAGGGCATTCTCTTTTGTTCTCTCTCTCTCCTTTTGGGTCTTGTGATTGAAGCACTGTGAGATACACAATTACAAAGTTGTTCACCTTTGGGTTTCTGTTATACAGTGTTCCAACCCCATTGCCTTAAGCAGTGCACATTTCCCACCACCAGTGTCCCCACTTATTCTCCCACCTTTCCCTGCACCCCCATGGCTATTTTTATTTTTTAATGACAGAAATGTTATTAACGTGATGCAAATTAAACTTATTTTCTTTATTTTCTCAAAACCCATGTTTCTGGAAAAGTAATCTGTATGCAGATTAGTGCTAGTGATGATTTAGGGGGCAGGTTGGGTCCCACACCTGACTGCTCCGGGGCTGCTCGCATATTCTTTAGGGAGACCTGTGGTGCTAGTGACCAGCCTGGCCACCTACATGCAGAGCCTGTCTTTGGCCCATTGAACCATCTCAGGCCATGTGCTCTGACTCTATTGCTTCCTGTCTCCTGTTTATAAAATATATAGATGTGCCAGTGAAATAAAGTTGTAAAACTTCTTAGACTTCCAATAAAATTCATGGTTTTTTAAGGCTAGATTGAGATCCGAGATAGAAATTACAACTGGACACCAAATGTGTTAGAGTCAATGATTGGTTGGTCTCTCACATTGCTGAGCTACGTCTGGCTAAAACCAGAGTTTGATTTTAATATCTTGGCATTACGTGAAATACTGATTCCTAAATTTAAAAGATCTCTCTTGGGATGAAGAGATGGTCCAGAGGGCAGAGCATTGCCTTGCCTGTGCAGCTTAAGTTCATAGACCCCATGTGAGCCCCGAACTCTCTCCAGCACCTGCAGTCCCCAGCACTATCACAAGTGACAGCTTCCCATACCCTAGCAAGAAAACATTTGGGGAGGCATGTGCCAGGATAAAACTTGGAACATCTGCATGGTAGGCGGCCACACTGGTCAGTGTCTTTGGAGGGAATGTGTTATTGGGGGATCAAACTTGAAGCATCTACAAGACAGGGTGCTCTCCAGCACTTAAAGTTACTTTCCTACCCCAAACTTAGGACTCTTTGAAACACTGTTTTGGGGGCTGGAGCAATAGCACAGTGGGTAGGGCATTTGCCTTGCACTTGGCCAACCCGGGTTCGATTCCCAGCATCCCATATGGTCCTCTGAGCACCGCCAGGGGTAATTCCTGAGTGCAGAGCCAGGAGTAACCCCTGTGTGCCAGGTGTGATCCAAAAAAACAAAAAAAAAAAAAACAACTTTTGTTTTATGTAAAGAAAGAGAATGGAACTTTTAAAGTCTTAGTTCTTGTTTGTGTATTCCACTACTTAAACTGTGTTCTGTATTTAATTTTACCATAAACAGGCAACTTCAGAATGGACCTTGGATTACCCTCCTTTTTTCGCGTGGTTCGAGTTTGCTCTGTCTCATGTTGCCAAATACTTTGATCCAGAGATGCTGAATGTCCAGAATCTCAACTATTCAAGTTCTAGGACCCTCCTTTTCCAGAGACTGTCTGTAATCTTTGCAGATCTGCTCTTTGTGTATGCTGCTCATGAGTAAGTGGAGTTCTGGAAATTGGGATGAGGCCTGGGAAGAAAAGTATTAAACCATACTCACTTGTCCCTAGTTTGGGGAAAACCAACATCATTATAAGAAATGCTCCATTGGGCCAGAGCAGTAATCCAGCAGGTAGGATGCTTGCCTTGCAGGTCATCATGTGGCTGACCTGTGTTCGATCCTCAGCATCTCATATAGTTCCCCAAGCACCACCAGTAATAGTACCTGAGTGCAGAGGCAGAGCCAGAAGAAAGCCTTGAGCACTAGCAGGTGTTGCCCAAAAATCAAAACAACAACAACAAAAAAAGCTACATTAGTTCCAAATGTGGCATGTACTGAAAGATATACATAACCCATAGTATCACTGTATCTTGTGAAAGTAAAGGAACAAGGAGACTAGCAGGCTAGCTTTTAAGACTAAAATTGAGTAAGAGTGTGTGAGTACTGTTGAGAACCGAGCCCTGAAGACTTCCTCCTGGAAGTCTCCCACCCACAGTGGTTGTATGCTTTTTGGTTTTCTCTTCGCTGGCCACCAAAGACTTCCCTGACCTACTCTGTTCTTGGGTGTGCATCCACATGTAGATAATGCACACACATATGCACACACACACACACACTGCTGACTGAAGTTTCCACACCCAGGGGCTCTTCCTTAGTGCTTCCAGTTGTTTCTGGGTTTTGTTCTTTGGTTTTACTCTGGGATTCCTCCCTGCTGGTGCTTGCTAATGCAGGGCATGTGCATGATTAGGTGAGCAATCTCTTAGTCTGTAATTTCATAGTCTTTCCTTCAGTGGAAATTCTTTACTACCTTTATGTTATGTTCATACCTTATATTTTTACATTTTTCACATCTTAGAGATATCAGGAAGTTGACACAGATGTAGAATGCCTTACTTGGTGACTTTAGAGTACTGAGTTCTCAGTTAATGTTGGTTTCTGGTCTGTTCTTAGACTTAAGCCTGTAGGTAGAATGTGAGAGCAGTGACCCTTACTTCTTTTTTTTTTTTTTAATTTTTTTTAGTGAGACACCATGAGGTACAGTTGTAGACTTACAAATTTTGTGCTTGGGTTTCAGTTATACAATGATCAAATACCCATCCCTCCACCAGTACCCATTTCCCACCACCATGGATCCCAGTATCCCTCCCATCCCCTATCACCCCCATCCCACCCTGCCTCTGTGGCAGGGCGTTTCCCTCTGTTCTCTCTCTCCTTTTGCAGTCCACTTCTTTTAACTCAAAATTGTTTGAATTCAGCCACATTTAGGAAGAGGGAATAGAATTCATTTCCCTAGGAGCAGTTAAGTGAGAGGTTATGGCAGGGGTGAGGACCAGGCACTAAGGATGATTACTGATTTCCTTGATTTCCTCAACTTCCCTCTAAAGAAATGGAGGCTTACTAGGAAAAATAGTACACCTTTCACTCACACCTCCTTAATTGCATCATTACTATGTTTATTGTTTTAAATCTCTTTTATAAGGATTATATATCCTCATCACAGTTTTGAAAGCAGAAAAATAACAGACAATAAAAATGATCTGGTACAGAGAATTCAGGGGTTAAGACACCCTGCAGGTGAATGATTCATATTCTTCCACCACTAGCCAGCACTACCAATATTTTGTTGCACGTTATTTCAGTTTCTTTTCTTGTCTGAATATATAATCTTTTCTTTAAAAGCTGCATTTTTTTTTTTTTTTTTTTTGCTTTTTGGGTCACACCTGGTGATGCACAGGGGTTACTCCTGGCTCTGCACTCAGGAATTACTCCTGGCGGTGCTCAGGGGACCATATGGGATGCTGGGAATCGAACCCGGGTTGGCCGCATGCAAGGCAAACGCCCTACCCCCCGTGCTATCTCTCCAGCCCCAAAAGCTGCATTTTTTTAATGTCAGATTTTATGGGTTTTGATATGCTGGCAATCAGGAGGAACAAGTTTATGATTCTGTCCTCAATTTGACTGGAATGATGATGTCCTGTTTAGAGAGCTCCACCATCCTGGTTTCCCTGTCTTAGATTTTGGTGTCAAGTATTGGACCTATGTCTCATATATGAGAAGCATGTGCTCCACTGCTAAGCTAAATCCCTGGCCCCTGCACCTTTTTGAATCATAAATCTTAATTTTATTAAATGAATGATAAAGCTGAGAGGCAGAAATGGAACTGCCCTGGGGTCTTTGTTTCTGCTGCCTCCTTCCTAAGCAGTCAGGGGTGGCTTATGTGGTGAATCAGCCTATTATGGTCTCTTCTGAAGAGAAAAGGCCACTTTCTGTTGAAGATCAAAGTCTTCGCTGATTCTTCTTGCTGTTTTAACATAGGTGCTGTAAGTGCATTGATGGGAAAAAAGCATGCAAAGAACTTCCTGAGAAGCCAAAGTTTATTCTATCTGTATTACTGCTCTGGAACTTTGGGTTGTTGATTGTAGACCGTATCCTTGATATTTTATATATTATTCACATGCTTATTCTAATACATGTATAAGACTAATTCTTTATATGTCTCTAAAACTTTACTTGCTTTTGGAAATGGGTGCAGTGTGGAGTTCTTTAAATAGTTTTGTCTTTAAGAAAGCATTCATAATTTTGTGGCAAAGTTAAATGTAAATTTGGGTTTCTTTGTTGTCCTTGACCTAAATCCAGATATTCATTTCCAATACAATGGTTTTTTATTTGGATTAATGCTGCTCTCCATTGCGCGATTATTTCAGGTAAACACAAATGAGCTAATCAGATTCTCGTTAAATATCGTTTTCAGCTAATAAAGGCAACTATGTCATGGGCAAGGGGTAAGCTTATTCGAATAACTATTTGAGTTTCCAAAAACTGTAGACATATTTCTCACAAATTTAATCTTTTTTGACAGTTCTTTTTGTCATATTACACAGAAAATTATGCTCTAGAAACTTGTTCACATAAACTTGAGTTTCTTTCATCTACGGATGAACTTTTCAATGTTTGCAGTACAAAAACGTTGATGATGGAGCTATTCCATCAGAAGCTTGAAGCATAGAGTAGCCAAAAGTATGGGCTTTGTGATCAGAAGTTCTGGGTACAAATTAACCTGTTTCCTCATCCTTAAAATGAAATTTATCCCTTGTTCATATTTGTTTATTTTTGGTTTGGGGGCCACAAGTTCCTGGGCTCAGTGCTTACTCATGGCTCTATGCTCAGGGACCGTTGGCAGTGTGTGGGACCATATGTGGTGCCAGGGTTCGCTGTATGCAAGGCAAGTGTCTTATCTCTGTATTATCTCTCTGTATTATCTATATTATCTCCGTGCTGTATTATCTCTCTGAACCCCTTGTTAGATTTTAATTTTCAAAGAGGGTTTTATCTGTCTTATAAGAACTTTGGAAAGATAAGTTTGATTTTGTTTGTTTTGCTCTTTGGACCACACCTGGCAGTGCTTAGAGGCTACTCCTTGCATGGTGCTCTAGGTATATCCTGGCAGTGGAGGCCATGCGATGCTGGGATTTGAATCCAGGCCTTCTGCATGCAGTATGCTCTGGCTCATCCGTCTAACTCTCCAGTTTGATCATCTATTTTAAAGTTCTTTGTTAGCTGCAGATTGTCTAGATGTTCCTTTTAGTCATGCATGTTCCTTTTAGCCATGCATGTAAACTCAAGTTTAGCAATATAGCAAGCTAGACCGTCTCTAGATCTTAACATTATAAAATTGATTAATAGAGATCTGGAAGCTCCCATTTTTTTCTTTATCATTCCTAATTTATCTGTTCTAGACCACACCTGATGAGACAGTGAGAGAAGGAAGTGGCCTTTCATGGTCCCCTGGCAGTTTCCTTTGATGAACATTATCTCTTTTTATCCTTCCAAAATCCCTGTCAGGTAGGTAGAATCCAGGTTGCTTTAGTTATAGTCAAGTAGGTGGGGTTTTGTTGCTTTGGTTTTGGTTTTAGTTTAGTGTGTTTAGGGGCCACACCCAGTGATGCTCAGAGCTTACTCCTGGCTCTGATCACTCCTCTTGATGCTCAGAGGACCCCTTGTGGGTGTTGGGCATTGAACCTGAGTCAGCTGACTACAAGACAAATGCTCCTTTCTTTGTACTGTCTCCCCATCCATGAAGTATTTTGTTTTTACTCAGAGTCTTTTTTAAATAATGGTAGGATCAAATGCTGTACTTGATGCCATCAGCACTGTATTTACCTCTATGTCAACACAGCATTCTGTTATAAGCTTTCATACTTCCTTCCCGGGCTAGAGCGATAGCACAGCGGGTAAGGCGTTTGCCTTGCACGTGGCTGATCCGGGTTTGATTCCTCCATCCCTCTTGGAGAGCCTGGCAAGCTCCCCATGGCGTATTCGATATGCCAGAAACAGTAACAAGTCTCACAATGGAGACGTGACTGGTGCCCACTCGAGCAAATCAATGAACAAATGGAGGACAGTGCTACAGTGCTACTTCCTTTCCAGACCCCCTCTGGGAGCTTAGGCTATGATAAAATGGAGGTGGTGAGGATAAATTCTGTGGGTTTTAGTTCCTTCAGAGACTTTATACTGTGCTGTTATGTTGCTATAATTAACAATGAGGCAATAGACTTAGTACTTAATAAATATCTACTGATGGAGCCAGAACAGTAGTATAGCAAGTAGCATGATTCCTGACTTGTAGAGCCAGGAGTGACCCTGGAGCCCAGAAAAAAAAAAGCGAAGGAGGGATTATTCAGAGCAATTGTGCAGCAGGTAAGACATTTGAGTACTGCCAGTATAGCATTTGCCTTGCACCCTACTGACCTGGGTTTGATCCCCAGCACCCCATACGATCCCCTGAGCCTGCAAGGAATGATCCCTGAGTGCAGAGCCAAGAGTAAACCCTGAGCAATGCTTAGTATGCCCCTGCCCCCCCCCCAAAAAAAAATCTGTCAAAATCATGAATTTATGGGGATTAGAGCTACCATCACTCCTGGCAGACTCAGGGGACCATATGGGATATTGGGGATCAGACCCAGGTTGGCCGCAGGGTACTTGCCTTGCACATGGCTGATTGAGATTCAATCTCTAGCACCACATATGGTCCCCCAAACCCCACCAAGATTGATCCCTGAGCACAGAGCCAGAACTAAGCTCTGAGCACTATTTGGTGTGTCCCAGAACCAAAAAAGGAGTGGAGAAGGGGTCTGAGAGATAGAATAGAAATTAGGGTGCTTGCCTTGCACGCATTTAATCCAAGTTTAATCCCCAGTATTGCAAATGATCCCCAATCCCCACCAGTGGTGACCACTAAGCACAGTTGAATGTGGCCCCAAAATCAAACAATGAGTTTATGAGGGTTGGAACCATAGTACAGTGCATAGGGCATTTGCCTTGCAGACAATGACCCAGGTTCAATCCCCAACATCCCCCTGAGCACTGCCAGGAATGATTCCTGACTTGTAGAGCCAGGAGTGACCCTGGAGCCCAGAAAAAAAAAGCGAAGGAGGGATTATTCAGAGCAATTGTGCAGCAGGTAAGACATTTGAGTACTGCCAGGTATGGCCCAAAAACAAACCAAAAAAGAATGAATAAAGGAGAGAAAGGAAGGTAAGAGAGAATAGTACAGTGATCTACACATGTTTACTCATGCACACAGAACTCATGCATGTATACTCGTGCACAAAAAATTTGAAACACATCCCAAGCATTTTATTTCATTTATTAAATATTTCAGAATATGTCTTTAGAAATATGTATTTTTTAAATTGTGGTAAAATGTACATATATTTTCCATCTTAATTTTTGGGGGGGCAAGCTAGAGTTTGGACCACACCCTGCAGTGCTCAGGGCTTACTCCTGGCTCTCTGCTCGGGAATCACTGCTGATGCTGTTTAGAAGGTCAAACTGGAGTCTGCTACAGGCAAGGCAAACAGTCTAGCCAATCATTTTTTTGGAGTTTTTCCCCCCCATTTTTGTGAATATTCTTATGTGTACATGTTTATTTTTGTTTTGCTGTACATTCCGTCAGTATTTGCAGTTTCTACATGTGACATTTGTTCCTTACCCAGTGGTGCTCAGGGCTGACTTCTGATTCTGCACTCTGAAATCACTCCTGGCTGGCTGGAGCAGCCATTTGTGATACCCAGAATGGAAGCTGGATCGGCAGCCTGAACAGCAGGTTCCTTATACATGTACTCTCCAGCCCCTGCTAAATCATTTTTGTGTGTACATTTCAGTATTGTTAAGTATGTGCACATGTATAAGACCAATCTAGTTTTCTTTTAAGTAAAATTATTTAATTTTAGAAAAGTAGCAAAGTTAGTGCAACAATCTTATATATTTCACCCATTTTCCCGTGGCGTTGCATGTTATATAACTGTGTATATTACATAACTGATAGTGTTTATCAAAACTTAGAAACCATAGGCCAGAGCAGTAGTAGAGCAGGTAGCGCCTTGCACACAGCCAACCCAAGATCAGTCCCCAACATTCCATATGGTCCCCTGAGCACTGTAAGGACTAATTCCTGAGCGTCGCCAGATGTGAACAAAAAGGGGGAAAAAAAAAAAAGAAAAACCCTTAGAAACCAGGCCTGGAACCATAGTTGCAGAGGTAAGATGCTTGTGGCTGATTTGGATTTGATCCTATCACTCCAGGCACCCCTGGCTATGATCCAGACACAAAAATTACAATCATAGCTAAGGATATATAACTCAGGAGTAGAGCACTAAAATTATATGTGTAAGGCCTCGGGTTCAATTTCTAACACAAAAAACAAAGTACCAAACCTACAGAAGTACATTCAGATTTCACTAATATTTTTTGTAATATTCTTTTTCTGTTCTGGGATTAGTTCAGTTAAGGATGTATGTTACTGCGTTTATTGTAGGCTGAATTTTACAGTGATTTTTTTTTTTTCTCTTCTGAATCTTCCAGAAAAGGCATATGGAAGGAGCATTCCTCTTTGCTATTCTCTTACATTTCAAGCACATCTACCTCTATGTAGCACCAGCTTATGGTATATATTTGCTCCGATCTTATTGTTTCACAGCAAACAAGCCAGGTAAGTTTTAAAACTTAGAGCACACTTTGACTTGGTGCCTTGTTGCAGGAGAAGGGTAAATGGGAATAACAGATATTGCTCAGCTCTTAATCCCTGCTCTTGCCTCATCATAAAAAAAGCATTGGTATACTCTAGTTTTAGCATTTAACAAATGTTTATTTCCCGTGCTCCTGGTCAATGGGCACATTTCTTTTGTAGATGGGTCCATCCGATGGACGAGTTTCAGCTTTATTCGTCTTACTTCCCTGGGACTGGTTGTTTTCCTAGTCTCTGCTCTTTCATTGGGTCCTTTCCTAGCCTTGGTAAGCCGTTTTTTTTTTTTTATATAAAGCAATACATGTTTTTTGTTATTGTTTACAAAATTATAATAAAGCCAGGAATGTACCAGACAACCTAAATTATTCCCTTCTTTCCCACAGTGATGCACTGGAGAGAGAATGGTCTTTCATTTTTGTGCATATTCATATATGTACGTTTGCTTTATATTTGTTTTGCTGTGTCTCATACATAGCAGTCATTATTTGCAGTTTATACATTGCTTATTTGCCTACTTGCAAGAAATTCTTTGTAATCCTAAAATTAATACTTATAACATTTCTGCACTGACAACACTTCTGCACCAACAATAAACATTTCATAGGACCTAGAATTAGGTCCTGTGAAGGTCTTTGATAAATTTACCCTTTTCCTCAGAAGTCTACCAGTCAATTCTGATCCCAACTAGAATTGAAAGTCCTGCGTCTTTGTCAAGTCTCCCCCACAATCCCTGTTGTCTGTGGTAACTGGATAAACTGAAATCTGTATTCTGTACCTTCCAAGTCCTTTAATCATTGCACTTGGGCAAGTGTTTCAGAGTGCTTCGGGACAGCTATATCCCACTCAACATAAGCATGTTAAATAGAAGAACTTCCTTGAAATGCTCAGTAACAACCCTATAGTTCATGCCGGAGAGAACAAAGACCAGACCCCTACCGCACAGATTGTTCACATTGCCCTGGAGAGCTCCCTTGTTCTCTCTCGTAGTTTCTAGAAGATTGATGATGGTTTACTCTCTTTCCACAGAATCAGCTGCCTCAAGTCTTCTCCCGACTCTTTCCTTTCAAGAGAGGCCTTTGCCATGCCTATTGGGCTCCAAACTTCTGGGCTCTGTACAACATCTTGGATAAAGTGCTATGCATCATTGGTACGGCAGCGAGCTTTCCTACTTAGACTGAGTACTGAAGGACTAGTCACAGTGAGAAAGGGAAAGGCAACTTTTTTTTGAATGAGGCAGAGCTGTTCTGTGTTTCCACTGTTAGAATAAGGACTGAGACTGCAGGGCAGTCAGCAGCTGCCACCCTTCTCAAAGCTGATTGTAGCAGCAAGACCTTGGATTTCTCCCTAGGGGAACACTGTGGAAAGGCATTTGTGCCTCCAGTAAAACATTACTTACCGTGGTAAGCTTAGAATGTGAAGCAGTGTAGGTTTGACCTTTGATATGAAAACCCCCTCTCCTGCATGAAATGAGACATGAGAGGCCTGGGCCAGGGGCTGGAGCACATGCGCAGAGTGCCAGGGCCACCCCAGCAGTGCGGCTCCCCACAAATACTGCTCCCAGACCAACAGCAAAAATAACCAGAACGGTAGCTGTGCATGGGAGGGACAGGGAGATAGGTTAGAGGGCTGTGTATTGGTCAGTGTCGCTTTGTATTCAGAAGCTCTGGGTTCAGTCACTGTACCTTGGCCATGAGTAGTCCTGGGGATCTCTGGATATCGCCCCAAAACCACACACACACACACACACACCCACCCAAAAAAATAATCTGGCTATGCAATGTTTTCAGGAGCATCCCAAACAATGCTCAGGGGGTTGGGGCCCTCTTCTGGCAACCCTCATCAACTGAGCCAGCAGTTGAGTGCACAGCCCAAGGATAGTGTGCTCTGTGAGTTCTCCAGTGATGGGGACACTTGGGCCACCCTGATACACCATGGAGTGCTGGGGGTCTGTTTGGCATCACCTGCATGCAAGATAAGCACCCTAGGTTCTATATAAAATGTAATTGATACTTAGAGATAATTCTAGTGGAAATAACTTAACTTTGTAATAACTTAAAATCTCTTGTATGTATAGCCTAACTGGATGGAAAGTGACAGAATTCAGAGAGGGATTAACAAGTCTTTATTTTTGTCTTTGGAGGGGGCCACATCCAACGGTGCTCAGGATTTATTCCTAGCTTTGTGCTCAAGAATCACTTTTGGCAGTACTCAGGGAATCAGTGTGGTATTGAGGATGAAACCTAAGTCAGCCATATGCATGGCAAGCGCCCTACCTGCTGTAATATCACTCTGTCCTAGGATTGACAGATCTTATGTGATGGGCCCTGTCCCAATCCAAGCAGGCTTGGAGATCTCAACCACAGGTCCCACATATGTGGGTTCCTCTGACAGTTCCTTTGTGTGTGAGGTTCATCCGAGCATGTGGAAAGCGGCCTTGAGCATGGCTGTGGCTGGGTTCTGGAGGCTTTCAGCTGCCAGGATTCTACTTGGGGTGGGGAGAGAAACTCAACCCATTCCCCTCCAAGGGGCCCCAGTGAAGACAGCCTGATGTGGGGTCCTCCACCCAGACCCCCCCCACACCCATTTTCCAGTAGCTGGGCAGTTACACCCACAAATTGCCCCCGCGGCCATGTAATCTCATCAAAAGCCAAGATCCAGAGACTAAAACAAAGCTCCCGGAAGAGAGCAATGCAGTTTCTCCCTCTCGGAGAGCCCAGCAAGCTTCCAAGAGTATTCCGCCCACACAGCAGAGCCTGGCAAGCTACCTATGACATATTCGATATGACAAAAATGGTAACAATAATGGGTCTCATTTCCCTGACCCTGAAAGAGCCCCCAATACACCATTGGGCTACGCTAAAACTTAACAGGGACGAATGGAGATGTTACTGGCTCCCACTCAAGCAAATCGATGAACAATGGGGCGACAAGTGATACAAGTGATCTGATGGACCAGTTAGTGAATGTTTTAGGTTTTGCAGGCCACTTCAGTATTTTTTTAAATTGCTTAATGGTCTTTTAAAACATTATGAATTTGTTTTGGAAAATTACATCCAACAGTTTTCAGGGACTACTCCCAGCTCAGTGCTTGGGGGTCACTCCTTGGAGTTTGCCCTGGGGACCTTGTGGTGCTGGGGTGGGACCCAGTCCTGCACTTCTGCCAGTTGAACATCTTTCTGACCATTACTATTACTCTTCCTTCTAGCAGATTGACTTAAGGTTGTGTGCTGTAGGTTATGCCTACACTCTTGATTCTCAAATGCATACTACTCCTTAATAAGGAAGCTCTCACTATCCGCAGATGATATGATACTTAGAGAACCCAAAGATCTCTACCAAAAAAACTCCTAGAAACAATAGACTTGTACAGTAAAGTTGCAGGCTATAAAATCAGTACCCAAAAGTCCATAGCTTTCCTATACGCAAATAGTGAGAGAGAAGAAAGTGACATGAAAAAAAACAATTCTTTTTTTTTTTTTTTTTTTTTTTATTAGTGAAACACCATGAGGTACAGTTGTAGATTTACAAATTTTTGTGCTTGGATCTCGGTCATACCACGATCAAATACCCATCCCTCCACCAGTGTCCACTTTCCACCACCAGGACAACATCCCTCCCCCCCATCCCCCCATCCCCCCCTGCCACTGTGGCAGGGCACTCCCCCTTGTTCTCTCTCTCCTTTTGGGGAAAAAAAAACAATTCTGTTCACAATTGTGCCCCAGAAAATCAACTACCTAGGAATTAGCTTAACTAAGGAAGTGAAGGACTTGTACAAAGAAAACTACAAAATGCTACTTTAGGAAATAAAAGAGGACATGAGGAAATGGAAAGATATCCCCTGCTCATGGATTGGGAGAATTAACATTATCAAAATGGCAATACTTCCCAAAGTATTGTACAAATTCAAGGCGATCCCCATAACGATAACCATGACATTCTTCAAAGAAATGGAGTAAACACCTGAAATTCATATGGAACAATAAGCACCCACGAATAGCTAAAACAGTTCTTGAAAAAAAATGGGAGGAATCAACCTCCCTAACTTCAAACTGTACTACAAAGCAGTAATAATTAAAACAGCATGGTACTGGAACAAAAGCAGAGCTGCAGACCAATGGAACAGGGTTGAATATACTAATAATCTCCCCCCCAAGCATATGATCATTTAATCTTTGATAAGGGAGAAAGAAATGTGAAGTGGAGCAAGGAAAGCCTCTTTAGCAAATTGTGCTGGCAAAACTGGACAGCTACATGCAAAAACATGAGCTCAGATCTCTGTCTAACACCATGTACAAAAGTAAGATCAAAATGGATTAGAGACCTCAACATCAGTCCTGAATCCATAAAGTACATTGAGGACAAAGTGGGCAAAACCCTCCATGACATTGAAAGTAATTGTATCTTCAAAGATGTCACACCACTGGCCAAGCAAGTGGAAACAGAGATAGACATATGGGACTATCCTATGCTACTGTTCTTTTGGGGGAGCAACCTCAATCCAGCAGTGCTTAGGGCTTACTCCTGAATTTTTGTTTCGGTTTTGGGGCCACATCTGGTAGTGCTCAGGGCTTGCTTCTGGCTCTGTGCTCAGAGATCATCCTAGAGATCTTAGGGGACCATACGGAGTGCCTGGGATTGAACCCAGGTCAGCTATGTCCAGGTAAACAACCTACCCTCTGTACCATAGCTCCAGCCCACTCACAGGTTACTCCTGGCTCTGTACTCAGCAGTTACTCCTGGTGGTGCTAGGATGGCCATACGGGATGCCAGTGATTGAACCTAGGTCACCTGCATGCAAGGCAAGCACCCTGCCTGCTGTACTATTTCTCTGAACTTGAGAAAAATACAAGTTCCATAGTTTCAGCTCCACACCGAAACAGATCCCCAACAGTATTGCTCACCTGGGGCGTGCCAGTTCCTGAGCTCGGATCCATTAGCTGGAGGACAGGGCAAGTTATTTTCGTCCTCTCTGCGCTCTCCTCACTGTGATCAGGGTTCGCTCCATTTGGACTGAGCCCATCAAGTGTCATGTGAAACAGTAGCATAAAGGCGATGGGGTCCATAGCAGGAGTTTTGGGGCCTAACAGTGATATGGAGAAAACGACTCCTTGTCTCTGTGCCTCAGGAGACAAGGTCGCCTGCAAAGTCCTTGGCACATGACAGATGCTTAATATAAAGTGGTTACTATTTTATTATTTGCTAGTTAGGTTTTGATGCATATTTATAGGAAATCTTAGGTTAGTATTACATTTTACTCATGAATTCAAGTTCAGTGCACATGATATTCTTAGGAAGCAATCACTGAAGCTTTCCCCCCGCCCCCTACTTTATTTAAGCACCATGGTTTACAGAGTTGTTCCCAACCCCAACCCCCCACCACTATCACACTCCTTCCACCATTGTTCCCATTTTCCCAACCCCCCTCATACTTTCCCCTTGCTTGTTACCACTAAATGGCTGATTAAATTATTAAAAAAAAAAATACTTTAGTAAAAGAAAATTTGTGAAATTTGTTATTATCTCATCATGACATTAAGTTCTTGTCTGAGAATTTACTAAGCTGTTGTTACTAGTTGAGCCTTCTGTGTTATTGTTCTTGTTAATTGAGCTTAGTTGGCTTCTACATTAATATTCCTGTCCAATCTGGTGTGCTCCTGCTGGGATGTTAGTATTGTAGAGTTTGGACATGCTCTGAAAAATCCAGAATATTTAACTCGCCAATAAGCTTATGTGGCAGTGGTGGTGGAATGTGGGTGGTAGAATGTGGAATGTGCCAGGGTTTCTGGAAGTATGGGGTAGGGGGTCACCCTACTCTGAGAATGCCTGGAATTCTCAGCCCAGAAAAACACAGTGTACCAGAAATTCCTTGCAGTTTGGTGTCTCTGCAGAACACCAGATGACAGACTTCAGGCTGTCATAAGAAACAGGGAGGGTCATTTCTTAATGATCAAGGATATGTACATCAGAAAGAACTCAAAACTCCTGAACATAAATGCACATAGTAAGGGACCAGCAAAATACTTAAACAACTGCTGATAGGTTTGGCATTGTGAGGCATTTTTGGGGGGGGATATTTTTTGATGAGCATTTTGATTTCTTCAAAAGTTATAGGTCTGTTCAGGTTTTTCATATCTTCTCAGTTCAGACTTGGGAGATTATAGAAGTCCAAGAACTTAACCATTTCTTCTAGGTTCTCTTTTTCATGGTATAAAAATTCTCAAAGTAATTTCTGATGAAGTTCTGAGGTGTCTGTTGTGACACCTCTCTTTCATTTCTGATTCAGTTAATTAGGGTTCTGTCATTCTCCTGGTTTATTTATCTTGTTTATTTTTTTCACAGAACCAGGTCTTGACTTCATTGATCTTTTTTGTTTGTTTGTTTTTGTTCGTTTGTTTTTTGTTTGTTTGTTTGCTTGCTTTTTGGGTCATACCCAGCGATGCACAGGGCTTACTCCTGGCAGTGCTTGGGGGACCATATGGAACGCTGGGAATTGAACCCGGGTCGGCTGCATGCAAGGCAAACGCCCTACCCACTGTGCAATTGCTCCAGCTCCTTATTTTTTGAATTGTTTTGTTGTTTGTTGTTGTTGTTGTTGTTGTTTTAATTCCAGTTCACTTCTGCTCCAAGTTTTATTATTTCCTTCCTCCTGCCTGCTTTGGGCTCTCTAGTTTCTTAAGTTGTGCACTCTAGTTATGTATTTGGGCCCTTTCTTCTTGAGAAATGCTTGCAATAACTATGAACTATTTTCAACACTGCTTTTGCTATGTTGAGTTCTGGTAGATCATGTCCTCATTCTCTTTTGTTTCCAGGAGTCTTTTCATTTCCTCTCTGACTCACGGGTTGTTCAGTAACAAGACTATTTTATTTCTAGATATTTTAGTGTTTCTCCATTTCTGTTTGTGATTAACTTCTGTTTTCAGTGCATCGTGGTCTGAGAAGATAGTAGCTCTGATTTCTAGCCTCTTGACTCTGGAGATAGGTTTTGTGTTCCAGCATGTGGTCTGTCTTAGAGAATGTCTCCTGTGCCCTGGAGAAGAATTATATATTATTTTTGGAATGACGTATCATACATACTAAACCCCTCTCTTTAATTTCTTCCTTCAATGCAAGTATTGCCTTACTGAGCTTTAGTCTAGCAGTGACAGAGTGGTTTTGAAGTCTCTACTATTGTGTCACTATCGATATCTTTCTTCAAACCTATCAGCAGTTGTTTAAGTATTTTGCTGGTCCCTTACTATGTGCATTTATGTTCAGGAGTTTTAAGTTCTTTATGATGTACATATCCTTGATCATTAAGAAATGACCCTCCCGTTTCTTATGACAGCCTGAAGTCTGTCATCTGGTTCTAGTAGAGGCACCTTGACCTTTTTGAGGGAGTTGTTTACTTGAAATACTGTCTTTCACCCTTTGACCTTTAGTCTGTGTTTGCTCTGACTGTCAGATGTGTTTTTTACAGGCAGCAGAATGTTGGGTTCAGTTTTATAATCCATCCTGCCACTCTGTCTTAATTGGTGTGCTGTTAGCCTGTTGACATTGATAAATTATTTTCATGGAGTTTTGTGTCATCTTTCTGTAGGAATTTGGTGTGTTTGTGGGATATATCTTGTCCTAACACAACCTCATTAGTTCTTGTAAAGATGGTTTGAGTCTATGAAGTTTCTGAACTGTCGCTTATTCATGAAGTTGTATATGCTTCCTTCAGGTTTGAATGAGAGTCTTGCTGGGTTAAGTATTCTTGGTAAGGCATTTATTTCAATCAGGTTTTGCTTTTGTTTGGTTTAGTTTTTTCAAAATTGTGTTTTATACTTTATTTCAACGCCATGGTTAACAGAGCTGTTCATGGGGGCTGGAGCCATAGCACAGTGGGTAGCACGTTTGCCTTGCACGCGGCCAACCCGGGTTTGATTCCCAGCATCCCATATGGTCCTCCAAGCACCGCCAGGAGTAATTCCTGAGTGCATGAGCCAGGAGTAACCCCTGTGCATCACCAGAATTGACCCAAAAAGCTAAAAAAAAAAAAAAAGAAAAGCTGTTCATAATACAGTTGTTTCCGACATTTAGTACTCCAACACTAAAACCTCCATTAGTGTGACCTTCCCTCAAGCATTGTTCCCACTTTCCCACCAAGCCCCCAAGCCTGCCCCCTTGGCAGGCACAAGAGTATAGATAGACACATAAATGTCATAGCTGGTTCAGAAGAAAGTCAACTACACTCCGCTTTTTGCTTGTTTTAGGGGGAGAGGGCATAGTTGGTGATGCTCAGACTTATTCCTGGTGGGCTCAGAATACCATATGGGGTGCTAGGGATCAAACCATGGCTGACCACGTGCAAGGGAAACACCCCGTCTGCTGTACTGTTGCTCCAGCCCTTCCACTTTTTGCTTCAGAAGCTTTCTCAGATGAGTGATTAAATCGAGACTTAACTTCATAAAATGCACAGGCCATGTAGACCTGTCAGAGAACACAAATGAATGTCAGTTCATTGTGGCCAAACCACATTTACCAAGTAAAGCTGAGGCTAGGGCGCTAAAAAGAGGCTCAAGTTTGGAGGGACTATGCTGAGCTCACAGACAGATTCAGCTAAGGCACGGTCAGATCTGTGTTGACTTGAATCATTGAAGCAGTCAGGATAGGTTGCTTTTTGAACCACATTTTCATGAAGCTATACAGACCCCGTTTCAGTGTCCACAGCTACTTAGTCTGGTGGGATCTCAGGACAATGGCTTCCCAGGTAGAATGGTGCTGAGGGATCACATGAAATCTTGAACTGGGAGGAACAGTAAGATTAAAGATATAGTCACTGTCACTGTCCTCCCTTTGTTCATCAATTTGCTCGAGCGAGCCCAGTAACATTGTGAAACTTGTTACTGTGTTTGGCATATCGAATACTTCACGGGGAGCTTGCCAGGCTTTGCCTTGTGGGCGAGTTACTCTCAGTAGCTTGCTGGGGTCTTGGAGAGGGGCGGAGGAATCAAACTTGGGTCAGCCTGGTCGGCTCCAGCCCAAAAATACAGTATTTTGTATTTTTATACCAGAACATAATTGGTAAAATATTGTCTGCCGTTGATAAAAATGTTACAAAATATGCTTGCCCTATAGGTTCAGAATTGAAGCTTCTCGATCCCAGCAAGATTCCCAAGGCTTCAATGACTAGTGGCGTGGTACAGCAGCTGGAGCACACAGTTGTCCCCTCGGTCACACCCCTGGCTACCCTCTTCTGCACTCTGGTGGCCATCTTGGTGAGAAATCTGCCCTTAAGTCTGTTCTGCTTTATGGCATGTCTAGTTAAATTCCATCTTTCAGGGTCTTCTAGCGGTAGGATCAGTTCCTGGCTGTTATCCTGATTAAGGCTAAACCTAGCATAGAGTGTCTTGGTACCCAGTAGGGAAGGGTTGCAGTCAAATCCTTGGGGAGGGGTTGCAGCCGCTGACTGTTAGATCTTCGGCTCACTCTGATAGGAGGAAAGAAAAGCTCTTCCTTCTGGTGGAGAAAGGAAGGTGTTTGTAGCATGGACATGGAGAGTTTGTTGTTGTAGATTTTATTTTCATCTTGAGCTAGCCCATGGTCCAAAACTGCCTCTCTGTGTATGCTAACAGGTGGTTTTATCTTGATGAGCTGAAACTCATCAGATAAGAACTTAAGGCAGAGGCTGGAGCACATGCTTTGCAGGCAGGATCTCTAGGGTCAGTCCCCAGCATCATGTGTACCCCCCGCACCCTCCCCCCCAAAAGCACCCCAGGGAGTGATCCAGCTCTGATCCCTGAAGTACTGCTGGGCGTCGCCCAAAAACAAAGAATCTCAGTTTTTGGAAGCTATTAAATGTTCAATCAGAGTTGCGTTTGTTTTGTTTTCACCTATCAGTACTTCGAAAACTTTCTTGTGAAACCAGAGCCCCAAGTATATAAAATAAATACTCACCCCTGACCCTAGTGTTTTTATTTGTTGCTGATCATGATATAATTTAATCATGCTGTTAGTGTCCTTACAAAATTTTAGTAGAGTCAAAATAGGTAACTCAGTTCTATCTATAATTATACCCAGCATTAATTTTGGTGTTTAAACAATCAAACTCCTAGCAGGACACCAAAACCCACTTGATTATACCCGCTTGTTTACATGTTCTGACAAAGGTAAAAACTTACTTCTAAAACTCCAGCTGCATAGGAGAGACCATGATTTTATTATAAGTTGTGCTGCTGCCCACAGAGTTCTTTATTAATATGGCAAAAATTAATTTATTAGTAGCTCTGAAATATCTGTGAATTTTTGTACTTCTATTTAGTAAATTAATTGATTGCTAATTATGAAGATATAATCAGGATTATACTAAATATTAATTTTGTGTATTTCTAAAGGTTTGTCCTTTTTTTCTGAGTACTTTCTACCATGAACTTTTGGTAGACTGTTCACAAAGTGATAAATTATCTGAGTTTATTAATTGAGAGTAGTCTGTTGTTGAGTATTTTCTAAAGATGAATTTATTGACCTGAACAGTATTTTTGTCACACATACTTTAAGCAATACTGAAGTCTTGTCTTTACCTGTTATTTCTAGCCCTCTGTTTTCTGTCTTTGGTTTAAACCCCAAGGGCCCAGAGGCTTTCTGCGATGTCTGATTCTTTGTGCCTTGAGCTCCTTCATGTTTGGGTGGCATGTCCACGAGAAAGCCATTCTTCTAGCAATCCTCCCAATGAGGTGAGTAGGTGACTCCACTGGCACTTCTGGTCTGTTGCAGTGGACCTATTGTATTCTATCTGCTCTGTCCCTCATGACATGTCCAATGAGAGAGGGAAAGACAAAACTGTACAGGAAGAGCATGAGTAGGTAGAACAGAGATTCTTGACATGTAATTCCTACACCTGTGGATGTTCTGTGGCCTGCAGAATTGTTTCTGCATTTTGTGGCTAAGGGATACTGCAGTGATCAAGAAGCATGACATCAAGCTATAATCTCTTAAACTAAGTGGAAATTTTATGTGGAAAAGCATGGGGTTGGTTCCATAGTTCCTTGTTAAGTGTTATATGGAGAAAGGGATGAGTCCATATTATTGACGAATTATAGCAAGTATTTGTATACTAACATGGGGATTTTCCTGTGATTTGAAGAGAGATTTGTGCACTCTTTCTTGAGCCTTTCAATCACATTGGAGATAATTCGGATAAAAGGGTATCATTCCCTATTTTAATACACAGAGAGCTCAGAATTTCAGTGACTTACCCAAACTCACATAGCCAGAAAACATAAAAGTTGATTTAGGGGCTAGAGCAATAGCACAGCGGATAGGGTGTTTGCCTTGCACGTGGCCGACCTAGGTTCGATTCCCAGAATCCCATATGGTCCCCTGAGCACCGCCAGAAGTAATTCCTGAGTGCAGAGCCTGGAGTAATCTCTGCATCACCGGATGTGACCCACAGAGAAAAAAAAGAAAAAGAAAAAGTTAATTTAGATCTTTAAAAGTTAAATCTTATGATCTTTTCACTGTGTCATGCTTTAAAAATGAAAGAAAAGAAGGCATTTTTGGGACTGGGTGATATGGGTCAAATGGTAATGCATATACCCTAGCTTGTGTGAGGCCCTGAGTTCAGTCCCCCAGCTCTGCATTCCCTACCCCACCCAAGCACTGGCTGTGTGGCTTCTCTAAAGAACAACAGTAAAGGGGGCTGGAGCGATAGCACAGCGGGTAGGGCGTTTGCCTTCAAGCGGCTGACCCAGGTTCGATTCCCAGCATCCTACATGGTCCCCTGAGTACTGCCAGGAGTAATTACTGAGTGCATGAGCCAGGAGTGACCCCTGTGCAATGCGGGTTGTGACCCAAAAAGCAAAAAATAAAAATTAAAAATATAAAAGAACAGTAAAAATGTTTTAAATGTAATTGCTCACCTTCTATATTATAGTTGAAACCAAATAGATGGTAATAGAATTAGTCTCCTGTTGATATATTATTCTTAAATCCTGAGATTTAAGTAAGTAAATTTGTCAAGTTTCTATAGGGGTTCTGTGGATTCACTTAGCAAACTGACTTTTCCAAATGTAAAAAGTGGAAAGTGGGCGCTAGAGTACAGCAGGTAGGGCCAACCCCGGTTCAATCCCTGGCACCTTATTGGTCCCCTGACCCCTGCCAAGAGTGATCCCAGAGTTCAGAGCCAGGAATAAACCCTGAGCACCACTGGGTCTGGAAAAAAAAGAAAAGTGGACCAGGAATGTGGAGCAGCAGTACAATGTATGCCTTGGATGCATGAGGCCCCAGATTCCATCATTATCACCACATACACATACAGGATAAGACTTGAATCTATTTACTTCACAGTGAACACACAAACTCACACTGGATGACACTTTGCATTAGTTCATAATGCACACCAGCACTTGTGGAGCCTTGTAAGAGAAACAAAGCTCTTCAGAAATTCAATTCCAGATCTTCGCTTCCTGCAGCCATTCAGCAGCTCCCAAATAGTCTTCTTTTCCATGTTACTAATGATTGCTTAAACTTTCCCACCAAAAAATTAATACCAGGAGAAAGAGGGCACTTGCTTTGCACTTGGCCAACCTGAGTTCTCTCCTTGGCAACCAATATGGTTCCCTAAGCACAGCCAAGTGTGGCCCCAAAACAAAACCAAAAAAAGGTTCACAAAAAAAAAAAAGTAATGATATCAATTGACTTACAAGCAGTGAGCAAGTATGTTGTCTTACACGTCAGTTTAAAGAATAATATATACTTATCAAGATATTTACAAGTATGTGGTTTTGTTGTCTTAAGAAATCTTATAAGCATTTTATTTTTAGCCTTTTGTCAGTGGGAAATGCAGGAGATGCTTCGATTTTTCTGATTCTCGCCATCACAGGACATTTCTCTCTCTTTCCTCTGCTCTTCACAGCACCAGGTAAATAGTTTTTCTTTGACGGTTATACTCATTCAGTATGCCCACATCCCCCCAGGCTTTGCTGCAGTCAGATTTAAACAGTTCAGATGCCTTAGAAGGACTGAGCTCGTCCATTCTCTTAGGCCAGTCAGAGCTTAGAGTTTGTGGTGCAGCCTAACTGTGCCAGGCCAGAGATAAGTCCCTCGGACCATATGGCTCCCCCAACCCCCAGCATGATTGAATATTGCTCTGGCAGCTCCCCCAAAAGATCGTCTGTTACACTTGAGGCTAGAAAGACGGCTCAGCAGGATGAGTGTAGGCTTTGCATGCAGGAAGCCCAGGTTTGATCCCCAGGACCATATGGTTTGCTGAGCACCACAGGAATAACCCCTGAGCACTGTGACATATGACCCCAACCTCTCCCCCACCAAAAAAAAAGTCTTTACTAGTAGGCCAGAGAGATAGTATAGTGGGTAAGTTTGCACACAGCCAGCCCAGGTTCTATCCTCTGCATCCCATATTTAAGCATACTTGAGCATCTCCGAGCCTATCCAGAGAAATTCCTGAGTGGAGAGCCAAGAGTAATCCCTGAGTACCATGAGGTGTGGCCCAAAAACAAGTAAATACTCATTACTAGCACTATTTAGCTGTGTCATTCCGTTTGTATTACTTTAAGTATCACACTCTTTTATCTCATCAACTAAATTATCATCTGTCTGTTTGTATTCTTTTAACAGAACTTCCCATTAAAATCTTACTCATGTTAGTATTTACCATCTATAGTATTTCCTCACTGAAGACTCTATTCAGGTAATCCAAAATGTATTTTAAATTCTATTTCTCTTGTAAATGTTTACTACTAAATTGTTGAGCTTTTTAAAATGTATTTTCTTTTTTTTTTTTTTTTTTTTGCTTTTTGGGTCACACCCGGCAATGCACAGGGGTCACTCCTGGCTCTGCACTCAGGAATTACTCCTGGGAAAATGTATTTTCAATTGTAGCATTACCAAGGGCAATAAGTAGACAAATCACCCATACACCCATCATTCTGCAGTGACATCACATGTTGTGTCTCTTTATGAATATTTGAGAAGTACCCAAATTTAAAAATACAGCATATATAAAACCGAAAGTTGGAATACAAACTACACAGATGAGCAAAGGCTCTTAAATACTGGTGCACAAAATTAAAATTCACATAAAAATTCTCACGTAGGGGACTGGAGCGATAGCACAGCAGGTAGGGCATTTGCCTTGGATGCGGCTGACCCGGGTTCAATTCCCAGCATCCTATATGGTCCCCTGAGCACCACCAGAGGTAGTTCTGAGTGCAGAGCCAGGAGCAACCCCTAGAATTTTAGTTTCCCTTCTGGGTTTTCATGTAATGATAAATGACTTTTTAAAAGCTTATTTATGATTCATATATATTGTCCCCATAGACCAGAGAGCTCAGTAGCTGAGCACTAGGTGAAGCCTGTGTTCATGCCCAGCGCCACTGGAGAGAGGCTGCAGGCACCATGCCAGCAGTAGTGCCTGAGCACAACTAAGACAAGCGCACAGAAACCGCAGGGTCTGGAGATGTAGCTCAGGGGTACCGAGCTTGTTTCACAGTCGGAGGCTTTGACTTCACCCCTAGTATAACCCCTCCCAATTTTTTTTAAATTAAGAATATGAGAAAGTATAAGACCCTTGGGGCCAGGGAGATAGTGGATAGGGCACTTGCCTTGAATGTGGCCCATCTGGATTTGATCCCCAGAACTTCATATGGTTCCCAGGCGTGATTTCTAAACACAGCCAGGAGTAAGCCCTGAGCAGCACCAGGTGGCCCAAAAACCAAAACCTTTTTAAATTTTTAAAAACATGAGACCCAGGGCTGGAGCAATAGCACAGTGGGTAGGGTGTTTGCCTTGTACACGGCCAACTGGGATCAATTCCCAGCATCCCATATGGTCCCCTGAACACCGCCAGGGGTAATTCCTAAGTGCAGAGCCAGGAATAAACCCAGTGTATTGCCAGGTGTGACCCAAAAAGAAAAAAGAAAAAAAAAAAGAAACATAAGACCCAGTGATTTTTTTTCTCAGTAATATAACTCCAGAATTGAAAAAATTCTTAAATAGGAATCTTCATTGCATAAAGTATGTTTGTGGGTATAAGTAGCCAAAAGATAGAAGTGTTCTGAGTGTTCCTCAACAAAAGTCAGCAAGTGAATGGATAAACCAAATGTGGTTTGTGTGTACAATGGTTATTAACCAATAACAAGGGATAAAGTTGTCTCTGGTATAATATAGATGAACTTGGATAGTGTGGGTAAGTAAAACATGCTGAACAAAAAAAGTCTTGTAGAATAGGCAGGTTCTAGGTTGCAGTGATAATGGAGTGATTGCCTATTCCTTACTGGAATAGGAAAGTTTAGAACCGAAGTGATAGGACTCTTGCCTGGCACGCAGCCAACCTGGATTTGATTCCCCAGTACCACATATGGTCCCTGGAGCACCACCAGGAGTGATTTCTAAACACAGAGCCAGGAGTAAGCCCTGAGCATCTTCAAGTGTGCCCCCCCCCCCCACAAAAATAAAATTGTTAAGTAATAATAGGCAAGTTCATAGAGACAGAAAGTTGATTTAGAGTTTATGGGAGTCACAGGTTGTGGGAGAAAGGCTTATTGCCCTTTCTTTCTAAAAATTCTCTATAGCGGGGCTAGAGAGAGTACAGGAAGTAGGGCACTAGCCTTGCACACAGCCACCCAAGGTTCAATCCCCAGCATCCCATATGGTCCCCAAGTATGCCAGGAATAATTCTGGTGCAGAACCAGGAATAAGCACCACCAAGTTGGCCCCCAAAAAATTCTCTGTGGGGTGTTGAAAATGTTTTCTGAATGAATGGCGGTCATTTACAATATTGTCATGATTCTAAATTTACTTAGAGATGAGGTTCCAAGGAGCTGAGGAGATAATTGAGGTTTGGCATGCATGCCTAGCACACAGAACCTGGGTCTGGTCCCCAGCATCTCCCAGTGTTGCCTTATTGGGCTCCAGCAACATGGGAGCAGTAGGGACTAATAAATGAGAAGAACTTTTTTAAAAAATTTTTAAACCATGAATCATATTGTGTACTGTATTCTTTGAGTCTTCACAGCATCCAGCCCACTTGCCTTTTCCAAGTGCTGAGTTGAGTGCATTTCCATAAAGAGATGTTAAATAAATTGGATTGTTACAGTATAGTCTGGAAAACTAGTATATATGTTCTGGTGTAGTCAGTGTTTTTCTCATTGTGGAATGTCCATTGTGTGCCCTTATAACACAGGCTCTAGCTGTGCTCACCATGAGGATGTGCAGGTGGAAATGTATGCTACCCCAGGATGACTTTTCCTTCCATTTTTTTCCTTCAGGAAAGAAAAACCTCTTTTTAATTGGATGGAAACTGTCTACTTGCTAGGTCTGGGGCCCCTAGAAGTTTTCTGTGAATTCGTCTTCCCCTTCACCTCCTGGAAGCTGAGGTGGCCCTTTCTGCCTTTGCTACTGACCTCCGTGTACTGTGCAGTGGGTGTCACATATGCTTGGCTCAGACTGTACATGTCAGCACTCACTCACTCTCCTGTCAAGACAGAGAAACAAAAATCCACCCCAAAAAATGTGGAAATGGGAGAGAGGGCACACCAGACTGAGCGCATGCTTTGCCCAGAGCCAAGAGTAGGCCCCAGCACCACCGGGGATGCCCCCCAAACAAAAAGGAAAAATCACAAGAAGACAAAGAAGCAGTAAAAAAAGAAAACCCTTGGATATACTGCTAGCAATTATTTCACAGGAAATTGGTCAAAACTTGAAGAAAGGCGCTGGTGGCACAACAGTTTGGGGCCCATTTTTCCCATCTCCGCCTTGCCCAGCCTCGAAGTCTGTCCATCCCTGTGGGGAGAAGCAAGGATCCCTGAAACTCTTGGGCTGTGCCATCTCCAGGTCTGACCAGTAGCGTCTTCTGTGTAGCCAGTGAGAAGCGTTATTGAGCTCTAGTGCCTAATTTGAATGAGAAATTTGAATAAAGCACCATTTTTCTATTTCTGGGTAGAATTATTGGGGGGCTCTGACCTACTTCTGCATCTTCCTTTCAGCAGACCCACAGCAGAGTATGCTGTCCTCATTCTCATGCCTTGTCCCAGGAAGGGTATTTGTCACTGAAACAGTTTCATGACAGGACTTCCACAGCTAGGGGAGTACTAGGCTGTATTGGCCTTTGAGTAGACTATGAATGACTGTTTCCAGCAGGTTTCTCAGAAGGAGTTATACCACTGTCTACACTGTTAGGCTTAAACACATTTTAGGATCTAATTTCTAAAAGTGGACTTTCAGGCTCCAAGCATTTGGAATTCTAGTTATTGCCAAATCAGCCAGCACAGTACCAGTTTCTGTTTTATAGGCAAGTGTGGGGTCTCTATTTCCCCACAAACTTGCCAACTTAGTGTGTCATCAATCTTAGATCCTCACCAGTAATGTCTTAAGGTCAAAGCTCTTCCAAATTGTGGAATTATAGTGCATCAAAAATTTTTTGAGAGGGACCACACCCCACAATGCTCAGGGATTATTTCTAGCTCTGTGCTCAGAAATTACTCCTAGCGGGGCCAGAATGATAGCACAGCAGGTAAGATGCCTGCCTTGCATGCAGCCCAACCCAGGTTCCTTCCCCAGCATTCCGTATGGTCCCCTGAGCACCACCAGGAGTGACTCCTAAGTGTAGAGCCAGGAGTATCCCCTGAGCATCGCCGAGTGTGGCCCAAAAATAAGAAATTACTCCTGGCAGACTTGAGGACCATATAGGGTAAAGGGAACTGAACCCAGGAGGTTGGCTGCATGGAAGGTAAGCACCTAACTCGCAGTACTGTCTCTCTGGCCCCTATGTAACGTTTTTCTGCAGTATAACAACAAAACCAAATTTAGCTCACTTTTAAAATGTGGGCGGAAGGGCTAGGGCCATAGTACAGTGGGTAGGGAGTTTGCCTTGCATTTGACCAACCTGGGTTCGATCTCCAGCATCCCATGTGGTCCTCCAGCACCGCAAGGAGTAATTCCTGAGCATCGCTGGGTGTGACAAAAAAAAATGTGGGCAGAGGACTGGAGACATAATACAGTGAGTGGGTAGGGCACTTGCCTTGCACATGACTAACCAGGTTCCATCTCTGGCAATCCATGTGGTCTCCTGAGCACCACCAGAAATGCTTTCATTGTGCAGAGCCAGGAGTAACCGCTGAGCATCATTGGGTGTGGTGCAAAAACAAATCCAAAAAAAAAGTAATGAGTAGGGAGATAATACAAGGGGGAGAGCCCTTTCTTTGACTAACCCAGGTTCTGCTCTCAGCACCACATATGGTCCCCCAGAGTCCCACTACAATAAGCTCTGAGGGCTAGAGTGCATGCTTTATGCAAACTTGGCCCGACTTCAGTCCCTCCTAACGCTTGCCTTTCCCTCACAGTACCCTCTTGTGGTCCCAGAGCACAACCTGGAACTGCAGCTTCTCTGAAAATTCTCGAGGGTTCCCTAGACTTTTCAGATTGCTTTGGAGCCCCCCCACACACACACACACAGAATATGATGTGCATGAATAAAGGTCCTGGGGGTGCAGAAGTGGAACTATTGGATAGCATCACCAAATGAGCCACCTTGGTGCACAGACTGGTATAAAATCTCATTTCCACTGTGTGTTCCCATGCAGAGAACTGGGAGCGCCCCTGAGCATGCCAGCTGACCCCAAAGCCAGAAAGAAAAATCCTAATAGGCCCTGGAGCACTTCTCAGCAGTACACATCTCTGCCCACAGGAGTCCCTGGTCTGCTGAGTGCATCTCAGCATGTCTGTCTTCATTTTAAATAAACCTGTGCTTCAAAGCAGAGGGGCCTGGTGGCAGAGCACATGCCTCATGTGTCAGGCCTTGCTTGGCCAAGGTCCCTGCCACTGGTACAGGATGGCTGGATGAGGTTTGAAAAACAAAAGAGAGAAGATAGGACAGCAAGTACGGCTCTTGCTTTGCACACAGTGGATCCCAGTTGGATCCCTGGGGCCTTCAGCCCCACCCGAAGTGATCCCTGAGCATAGATCCAGTAATAAACCCTGAGGACCTCTGGGTGTGGCCCCAAAAACCAAACTTGGAAAAGCCTGATAACCTGCTATATGCCAGAAGCTTCCCTGCACAGATCTCAGTAACCCTAAGCACCCTGGGCGTGACCCAAATAACAAAGTTCACTGAAGAAATACAAATAAAAAACACACATACTCCCTTGAGCATTGCCTCAAGTGATTCTGAGCACCATCAGGTGTGGCCCAAAAAACAAAACACTGCAACAAAAGCTTTTTATAGGGGCTAGAGCAATAGCACAGTGGATAGGGCTTGCACACAGCCGACTCGGGTTTGATTCCCAGCATCCTATATGGTCCCCTGAGCACTGCCAGGAGTAATTCCTGAGTGCAGAGCCAGAAGTAACCCGAGCATTTGCCGGGTATAACCCAAAAAGCAAAAAAAAAAAAAAAAAAAAAAAAAAGCTTTTTATATATCATAATATTTGGACAGAACATTTTCCTAGACAGGTGATCACTTCCTGGAAGAGTAAGAACCTCTAAACGGTTCTCGGAACCTTAAAGGTGTGCTAATATACTTTTGTTTGTTTGGGGGCCAAACCTATTCTTTTGTTTATTTTGTTTGGGGCCACACCCAGCTGTCCTCAGGTCTTGCTCCTGGCTCAAGCGCAATTCCTGGTGAGCTTGGAGGACCAGATGGGATGCAGGGGGTTGAACCCGCGTCATCTGTGTGCAAGGCAAGCACTCTATCTGCAGTTTTACTGATCTGGCCCCAATTTTCATTTTAAAAGAAAAATCCTAGCTTGAAATAATGGCGTTTTATAGGCATATAAGGTCCGTTGTCATTTTAATGACTCTCATATGCCATCTCCAGTTTGCAGATGAAGATGCACCTACACCTCTGGTTTAATCCTAAACCTTCCAATCCCATAAAATGTTGCCACTACGGCATGGGGAAGTGTATCTCAGTCTCAGCATCACCATGGGCTTCCTAAACACGAGGCTATTCAGACTGAAGTCTCCACTGTCGGAGGTAAAGTGAGCAGGAATGGGATATCTCCCTGTTAAAATAGGCACCAAGATTAGACTGGTCTCCTGTGTAAAGCAAATTTAAAAAGGGAAAAGGCTGCTAATACCGGGAAAAGCAGGAATGGTCCTGCCTGGGACATGAAGCTTGATCAATCTGAAAAGCACCATATACCACGTGGCCTTGCTGGGAGTATTCTGCCTGGGGCGTGGGACGGGGGAGAAAGTCATACACTAAACCAGTATTCGTCTACAATATATGTATATATCCTTGGGTCTGTAAATTCTTTGTTCTAAAAAGATATGTGCCAACTCCTGGAGAATGTAGGTGGCTGCAGACAGAGGCTTCCTGAATGAAATGATCCCACGGCTCCTCACTGGGGCTGCTTTGATGATCTCGCTGTCTGGATGCCTCTGCCTCCTTTGTGACTTGATCACAGTGGACATCGCCCAAAGCAGGGAATAAATGTTGGACAAAACGTTAAGTAATACTTGGGCCATGAGGTGGTACAGGAGGCTAAGGCTCTTGCCTTGAAACGAGACCCTGTCCATCCCCTGAATGCATATAGTCCAGAGCCTGGCCAGGGCTCACAGCCAGAGATTGGTGGTCCCAAAATACAATGTTGCCGTCTAAAGCCCTGGGGAACTCAAAGGCCCTGCCTGTGAGGACTGACCCCTGGACCTCAGAAGATAACTGCTCTATTTCGGTTTACTCCTGCCTTGCAGTTCATTGTTTCCTTTAATTTACTGATTTTTGGCTTGGGGGTCACCCCCAGTGGTGCTTAGGGATTACTCTGAATTTCGTTTCCCGAGGCTTGCCACCCTGGCGGGTGTTGGACGCGACAACTCATTTCTGCGGAAGGCCCTTGGGCAGAGGTGGAGGGTCGGGAATGCCCCGCGCGGTGCGCGGCGGCCCGCGGGCAGGAGTGCGGCCCGGAACTGCGGGCGCGAGGTGCGGGCGCCGGGGGCGCGTTAGCGCGACGCTCCGGCCGGATGCTCTGGGACACGCGCCGAGCGCAGGCGCGTTAGGGCCTGCGGCGGCCGCGCGTCTCCGGCGCAGGCGCATTGGGACGGGGGCGGTCGCGCAGGCGCATTGGGCCGGGTGTGCGTCCCCGTGTCCTGCAGCGGCGGCCGGGGCGGTAGACAGGGAAGGGCGCCAAGATGATGAGCGGAAGGCCCGGCCGGGAGCCCTTGAAGTTCCTGCCCGACGAGGCCCGGAGCCTGCCGCCGCCCAGACTCAACGACCCGCGACTCGTCTACGCGGGACTCCTGGGTTACTGCTCGGGCCTGATCGACAACGCCATCCGCCGGCGGCCCGTGCTGCGCGCGGGTGAGGCTGCGGGCCGGTCAGGGTCGTCGGAGGGCAAGACGCCGCGAGGGCAGAGGGCGCCGCAAGGGCAGGTGCCCCACAAGCCAGGACACCCCGAGGGCAGAGGGCACCCCGAGGGCAGGCGCCCCGCAAGGCAGGACGCCCCGAGGGCAAGCGCCCCACAAGGGCAGGACGCCCTGCGGACAGGGTCGCCCCGGGGGGGCGAGCAGGGTGCAGCGAAGGCCCCGGGGAGGCGCTGCCCGCTCGGCTCGGGCAGCCCTCCGAGGCCCCTGGAGCCTGCAGAAGGTGGTGACTTGGTGGCTGTCACTTGACAAGGTGCACCGTGCGGATCCTAGCCCTGTGCCCCGACGGGAGACGGGAGACGGGAGCCGGAGTGGAGCGAGTGCCTGAGCAGACCCACCTTGAGTGCTGCCGTTTTGCGCCTGAACTGCATGACTTCTCCCTAAGCCCCCTGTGCACAAGGACAGGTGGCCCAGCAACCCCCCTCACACGAACACCCCCAGAAGGAGCAGGTGCAGGGCCACTGAGATAGTACAGCAGGTACAGCGCTTGTCTTGCATGAGGCTCCCCCAGATTCGATCCCTGGCATCCCATATGTCTCTGAGCCCTACGAGGAGGCTCAAAAAGGACTGCACTCTTGGTCCCTCAGCACCCCCAGCCAGCTGCGTGCACAGCACCAGGAGCAGCCCATTCAGTGGCCCAGAAATGTGGTTGAGGTTTGTGAGCAGTCTAGAGCCCTGACCTTTACCTAAAGCCAGGGTAAAGTCAAAAGACTCCTGGGCAGCTTTGCCTTGTGCTTGCACAGCGCCCCTGTGTGTTCCCAAGCCAGTGCTCCTTTGGCTTTGAGGCTGTCCTGCAGGTGGTAAGGAGTGGCCCGTTCGCATCTCCTTTGAGTACCTGGCGCTTCCTTCTTTCCACCTGCCTCTGCCCAGTCCTCTGTTAGGTGAAGTGCAACAGTCCTCTCTCTGGAACTGAGTGTCCTGCCCCTGCCCCACGCTGTGACACTGGTCTGGTTACTCAAGTGGAACCCACGTTTCCCATCGATGAGGTGAAAGATTGATTTTCAGGTTAAGCAGATGACATAGCTGAAATATTCTCCCTGCACCAGAGCACAAGCCTGGCCCACCAGTCCCTTCTGTCAGAGTGCTCTGCTGTGTAGGAGCCCCCGATGCCACCCTGACACCTGTGCTGGCTGCATCACTGGACGGATCAGACTTCCTGCATGTGCCCATACTTGTACAGAAAGAGTCCATAAGTGTTCCAGAAGGTCATGGCCAGGCCCCAGCCCTGAGAGCACAAACTGGCTTCTCCAAAGCTCCCATTCCCAAAGCTTGAGTGCCTTTCTCCTCTCAACACGAGCCCTCCGAAGTCATATCTTCCCTTTCATAGGGACAGGGACTCAGGAGCCAAGGTGATCAGTTGCTGGTAGGTTAAACTCAGAATCCATAAATGTTTGATTTGGTCTACTACACAGATATCAACTCTAAATTTAGAACAAGGAAGCAGCACCCAGGAGCAAGGGTTCAAAAACAAGTGATAGATTGGAGTCAAAGAGATAGTACAGTGGATAGGGTGCTTGCCTTGCCTGTGGCCAAACCAGGGTCAATCCCATGACCCCCTTAAGTTCTGGGTCCCACCAGTAGTGATCCCGGAGCACAATTGAGAGGAAGCCCTGAGTCCAGTTGGGGGGCTGATGGGGACCCAGAGCAATAGCACAGCAGGGAGGGTGCTTGACCTGCATGTGGCCCACCCAGGTTAATCCCCAGCACTTCACATGGTCCCCAGAGGCCTGCCAGGACTGACCCTCAAGCACAGAACCAGGAGTAAGTCCTGAGCACCACTGGATGTGCCACCCCCCACCAATCCACATCTAAAATTCTAGCATTTTTTTTGCCAGCTTAAAAAAAATGGGTACAATCAAGACTTTAGTCATGGATATTCAAGTACTAGCCAAAGAATTCAAGGTGTGGGGCTCAGTAATCAGTGGTAGAGCAGTTGTGACGACCTAAGACGTAGGAAAGGGAAGGGGTGCCGAGGGGAGAGGGAGAAAGGGATATATTCTTCATGGCCATGGTTGAAAGTCATCTGTACCCTCCTCCACTCCCCCGTTCCTTCATGCACACACCACAGTTCATTCTGATTCAGCTGTTGGGAAGGGCCACACCAGGGATACTCAGGCCTAGTGGGGTGGGGGGAGGGGGGGGCAACAAGAGATTAAACCAGGAATGTGCTCTGTCAGACCTCTGACCACACTTAAACTTCAGAAGGTTTCTGCTTACCTGGTTTGTAACCCTTTCATAGGGTTAGGTATTTTATACTTGCTTAAAATGGACAATTATTCATTAAATCGACACAGTAGAGCTCTACTCTGTGCCCTTTACCAGACAAAAATAACATGCATTCAGCGCATGCTGCTGAGGACAGTCACTCAGCCAAGTTCTCAACACCTAGAATCTCCAAACTAGGGAAACCAGGGACAGCTTGGGAGTGCTGACTGTGGCCACTGAGCTAGTAAGTGCTGAATATGTATATCTGAACTATGACCGCATAGTTTCTAATTCACATGTACTGATTCTCTTTTCTTTGGCATTTGGATCTTAGGTCTGCACCGCCAACTTTTGTATGTCACCTCCTTTGTTTTTGTTGGATATCATCTTTTAAAACGACAAGACTATCTGTATGCTGTGAGGGACCATGATATGTTTGCCTATATAAAGTCACATCCGGGGGATTTTCCTGAAAAAGGTAAATGAAGTAAATCTACAACCCTTCTATTACTCTGCATCATCCCTTTCTGGTCATTTCATCCATGCTGAGGGCTCAGCGTTTTCTGTTTGTGTTTTGAATGAGATGGGGAGGAATTCTCTGTTGTGACTCTAGTTCGGGGCGGGGGGGTGGGGGGGGAGGGCGGAGCTGTGCAGTGCCAAGAATCAGACTCTAGGCCTCCGAGGTGTCTCCCTGGCCGATCCATATTCTTGGACACCTAGTCTTTGCAGATTAGACTTGAACTCATGTCTCTTCTGGCCAAGCACCTCTGTAGCCCTTGAACAATAAGCAGAACCCACATGCTCTCTGCCCGCCCAGTCACGCCTTTTCCACCCCATGTAAAGCTGAGAACTATTTTCAGGACTTTCACTTCTTATGAATTCATCACAAAGTCCTACTAATTCTACTTCCTATTTCTAGACTCATCCCCCACCATCCCAATACTCACACCCTTGCTTAGACTCTTGAGTTTGCAGTTTGCATCCTGCCTTGGGTCTTGCTTTTTTTGGGGGGGGAGGGCAGGTCACACCCAGAGATGCACAGGGGTTACTCTTGGCTCATACACTCAGGAATCACTCCTGGCGGTGCTCAGGGGACCATATGGGATGTTGGGAATCAAACCCAGGTCGGCCACATGCAAGGCAAATGCTCTACCAGCTGTGCTATCGCTCTAGTCCCTCTGCCTTGGGTCTTATCAGAGTTCGTGTCTCTGGATAATCATGGGTTTGCCTAAAATTGCTCTCCTTGGCCTGTAGGATAAAATTCAGCCCTCACAAGCCAGAGCAATAATACAGCAGGGAGGGCATTTGCCTGGCACGCGGCTGACCCAGGTTCAATCTCTGGCATCCCATTCCCAAGCACTGCAAGGAGTGATTCCTGAGTGCAGAGCCAGAAGTAACCCCTGAGTATTGCCAGGTGTGACCCAAAACACATACATAAAAAAATCCAGACTTCTGGGGCTGGAGAGATAGCACAGCAGGTAGGGCATTTGCCTTGCATGCGACTGACCCAGGTTCGATTCCCAGCATCCCATATGGTCCCCTGAGCACCGCCAGGGGTAATTCCTGAGTGCAGAGCCAGGAATAACCCCTGGTGTGCATCGCCAGGTGTGACCCAAAAAGCAAAAAAAAAAAAAAAAATCCAGACTTCAGATAACACCATATAACACCACGTTGAGCTGATTGCCTCTGGAGCGCTCCCCCACCTGTTATCTAAAAGGGTTGCATTTCTACTGCATCTTTGGTTTTCCGGCACAAAGCCTATCCAGTCTATTCAATAGCTGTCGGCACTGAGAGCCACGAGCTACCTCCCCAGCCCTCTAACGAGCTGTCACTCCTCTCCCTGATTCTGCCCCTCACCCCCACTGACGTGCCTCCTACCTCTCCAGACTGCCCACCTAGCAAAGATTTAAAAGGTGTTAGTTTATTCACTTGTTTTGCTGTGCTGGTGATCAAATCTAGGTCTCATACACAGCATGTGCTCTACTGTTCATCCACCTCCCCAGTCCTAAAAACTTCTTCCCTGAGTTCAGCGTCTCAACAGATGTTTCACCCAGCTACAGAAACAGATTTTCTCTTCTTGATCAACTTGTCTCTCTTTCTCTAAGTGTAATATAAGCATTTTCTTGTTTATTATGTATTACACGTATGCATACACATAATTTGCTCGAGCGGGCCCAGTAACGTCTCCATTGGAGACGTTACTGGGCCCGCTCGAGCAAATCGACGATCAACGGGAGGGCCTTTACCTTTTACCTTTTACCTATACACACAATATTGATACACTGCGAAGAAGTGTAGGTGAGATCTGAACTTGTGAATATATAAATAAATTTTAAGTAGATTTTCCTGTTCCTGGAAATGTTAGCATTTTCATTTCATTTTTTTTTTCCTGGAGTTTTGTTGTTGTTGAGTTTGGGGCTACACCTGGCAGTGCTCAAGAATTACTCCAGGTTCTGCTTGCAAGGATTATTTCGGCGGGGAGGGCTTGGGGGACCATATGAGATGCTGGATATTGAACCTGGGTTGACTGCATGCAAGGCAGGTGCCCTACCCACTGTACAATCTCTACTGTCTCAAGCTCTTTTTAACTCTAAACACTTTTAGTATGCACACAGCAATAATCATAGTCAACCAAAGGGTGTAGCCTTTTTCTCTTTCCCAGTGAAGTGTTCGTTGGCAAATGCAGAGGCATGAGTAGCGGATGTGTTGTTCGGGATGGGTTGATAGAACAAGGCAGTGGCAGATTGTGTCCTGCGCCCCATAGCTCCCAGCTCATACCTCCCAGCTCCTCGGCCTCAGCCTGGCGTGACAGGCCACCTCCAGCCCTGCAGGTTCACTTGGTTCCCTCCGTTTGCTAGAATGTCTGATCCTAATCCAGGCCTAAGAACATCAAGCCTTATATGGCCCTAAAATGTTAAGTGTTGGTTTGTCTTAGGAAATATGCTTTATGAAAGTATTTTGAAATCTTTTATGTTCTTTCCTTTTGTAGATAAGAAAACTTACGGTGAAATCTTTGAAGCGTTCCATCCAGTGCGTTAAAATCTCTGAAACACTTGCTCTGATTTCGCTGTTTGTCTCCAAATTTTATGGGATTTATTGACATCTGAAGTTTATGTGAATATGTGTATTCATGCATTGTGATTAAAATGGTAATCATGAGCTCTCTGACTCTTTTTTTTGACTTTAAATGCTGAATTTAATTACTTTTTTTTTTGGTGTTCTTTTATTGATTTATTTTTAATTTTAATTTTTTTAAAGTTTATTTATTGAATCATTGTGGGAAAAGTTACAAAGCTTTCAGGTTTAAGTCTCAGTCATGCAAATATCAAACACATTTCCCTTTACCAATACTTATTTTTCACCACGAAGAACCCCAATAAACCCCCCCAACCCTCCCAGTGCATGTGAGGCAGATGAATTCTAGTTAACACTCTATCTACTTTGACTAGATTCATCGTTTCGACAAAAGATGCATCATTATTATTTAGAGTTTACACCCCCAAATCAGACATGCTGAAAAGGCATTGTGAAATAATTTGTTTTCTATAGCTGGACACAAAAATCAAATGAGGTCATATGGCCGCAATAGCGGCCGCGCGATTTTGGATTTCTGGTATTTTACTTATTAACCCTGGAAGAATTTCTGCTGAGAGTCAGATAGTTATGAGATTGGTTTCTGTGCTCTGGAGCAATGGCCGTGCCGGAGAGCCACTCGTGGGGGACAACTCGTGACCTCGGTAGGGCATGAAGGATGAGCCAGGAACGCCCCCCTTCCCATGAGGTTTCAGTCGCCCCATCACGACTGGCTCATACCTGGCTTTCCACAAAGCTCCCAAGCCGCTGCCATCTTTCTTTCCAGAGGGAAAAAGGCAGAAGGGACCAACACCCTTTCCCCTCCGGGCAGGCATGGTGGCGTGGATTAAGGCATAGTCCATTCACTTTTCTGCTGCAAGCTGCTGGGCTCTGCATTAAGCCCTTGTGCTTCTGGAGCCATGGCCATGCCGGAGAGCCGCCCGTGGGGGGCAACTCGTGACCTGGGTAGGGCGTGAAGGACGAGCCGGGAACACCCCCCTTCCCATGAGGTTTCAGTCACCCCATCACGACCGGCTCATACCTGGCTTTCCACAAAGCTCCCAAGCAGCTCTCTGACTCCTTTTTTGTCTTAAGAAAAATAATCCAACAAAGAATCATTTGTTTGTAATCACCCAGTGTAAGATGGTAGATTTTAATATGGGGTTTACAGGGCAGAAGGGATAGTGCAATGGGTAACAAGCTCACTTTGCACATGGCCAGCCCTAGTTCAATCCCCGGCACCCCATATGGTCCCCTGAGCCTGCTAAGAGTGATCCCTGAGACCACCAGGTGTGGCCCCAAAACGGGGGTGGGGGGAATAATAAAATTTTAAATACATAAAGTGGCGTTTAATTGGAGATTGAGATGGCAGACAAAAGCCTGGTGCCACCTGCAGCTGAGACAGGTGTGCAGAGCACAGCCCTGTGCTGTGTTTGCTGGGCTCCCGAGAGTCTGGTCAACCGAAGCAGTATCCACATAAGACATCAGACCCACCTGTGACTACAAGACCTAACTTAGATGATGCATTGCCTTAATTGGAAAGGGTTGGTCTCTCCGGTTTGTACAAGACAAATACAAAGTATACCAGTTAGCACAAGGTTTTGTGAATCATCTGAATAATTTTAGTATGATTTGCTGTAGTGGAAAATCATTAGTGAGTTTTAAATGGGACTGACAGGGCTGGGGAAATAGTACAGGGGGGAAGGCTCTTGACTTGCATGTGGCCAGCCTGAGTTTGATGCCAGGCACCACATATGAATGACAGAGCCATTAGAAGCCCTAAGCATTACCAGGTGTGGACACAAGAAGAAAGGGAAAGGGCCTGACTTGGTTTGGATTGTATTTCTGAGTTTCTCTCTGTCCTGCTGTAGAGGGAAATTAAGAAGGATTTAGGACTAAAAGGAGATTTAATCCTGCCTCAGGTTTTCACTTGAAACTTTCTGTGGCAGTGCCAGGGGTTAGAGGTTAGACCATTGCATGTCAGGCCACTCTCCCTGAGACTGATCCCTTGTTGTTGTCATGGGAAGGACACACTCTGCGGGGCTCAGGGTTACTCCTGGCTCTGCACTCAGGAGTCACTCCAGATGGTACTAGGGAACCATATGGGATGTTGGGGATTGAACTCAGGTTGGCCCCATACAAGGCAAACGCCCTACCCGCTGTGCTATCGCTCTGGACCCCTGACCCCTTTGTTCCTTGGTGTGTCTTCCTGGAGGAAGATGTCATAATCACATATAGTACCTTCAGTGGAACTTGATAAAAATTTAGAAGTGAAAGAAGCCATTAGAAGTAAAGAAAAGGGCCCAGCAGGCTGGATATAGGTTTTACTCACGGGAGACCTCAGGAGTGAACCTGAAGCACAAGCCAGAGTAGCCCCCAGAGCACTATGGTGTGACTCAAAAACAAAGCAGAGGGACTGATGAGGTCAAGTGCAGAACACAGGCCTCCCACATGCAGCAACACTCTGGCTTTAAACCCAAGGATACACAGTAGCTGAGTGACTCAGGAGGGAAGATCCTTCCCTGATGAATGGTGGTTCTTCATAGCTGATTGAAACCAAATGCTTGTGGGGCCAGAGAGATAGCAGTGGGTAGGGCGTTTGCCTCGCAGGCGGCTGACCCGAGTTTGAACTCCAGCATTCCACCCCAATCTCCACCAGGAGTAATCCCTGAGAATCAATGGGTGTGGTCCCAAAACACCACTCCCACCTCCACCCCCCCAGAAAAGCCCAAACGTTTGTCTAAAAAATGTATTTTCGGGGCTGGAGAGGTAGCACAGCGGGTAGGGCATTTGACTTGCACTCAGCCTACCCAGGTTTGAGTCTTAGCATCCCATATGGTCCCCCGAGCACCGTCAGGAGTGATTCCTGAGTGCACGAGCCAGGAGTAACCCTGGGCATCACCGGGTGAGACCCCCCCCAAAAAAAAACGCATCAAATTGTTTTGGTGCCACAATCAGTGGTAGGCGGGTTGGGGGGGATCTTGCAGAATCTTGATGGAACCAGGATTCTGTGTGTAAAGCATACACTCAGATTGACCCTCCAACCCGAGATTTTAGAATCAGATTCAGAGATTAATTAACCTGTTTCCTTGCTTATGTTTGATTTCAAATGTTTCGACAGTATAGATATAAACATGGTTTTTGTTTTTGTTTTTGTTTTTTTTGCATAATCAGCTGGGTTCCACCTTAAATTTTTTGAGTACTACTTGAAATATCTTGAGCAAGGGCCTGAGAGATAATAAGGATATGTACAAATACAGGGTATTATTTTACTGTTTTTATTGCTACTGCAGTAAGCAGATAGATACATGGTTCATCCTGCCTCATCTTCGGTCAACAGGAAGAAGACTGCAGTCAACTGGGGGACGGGCCATCTGAGCAAGGATTAGAGCAGACAGTGCTGGCAGGCGGAGAGGGCAGCCCTTCAGGGTAGCTCACAGGGCTCAGGGGTGCAGCCCGTCAGCATAGCTCACACGCAGGGCTTAGGACTCGTCCTCTTGTCAGATTTGCGCAACTTTGAGTTCTCTATGAAAAAGCGCCAATCCAATGGGGTAAGTGACCTATCCAGGATGACACGCAGTGAATGCAGTGCCAAGGAGGGTCAGGAGTGAAAATGACCGGGTGGAGGCGCTTTGCCCATCACGCCCATCTGTCCTTCACGAGGGCCCACCCAGGTGGGTCAGAGGAGCATGGGAATCAAGCATCACGACAGGACCTGAAAGGTGACTCAGAATCAGGCGTTGCAGGAGGACCCAAAGGGCCCAGTGATGAGTCTGCAGGTTGCTGTTGTGAGGGAAGGAAGGGAGCTGCCCAGCAGCTGACTGCTTCCTCTTCAGCCACGGACCCAGATTCTGGTCTTGGGGTTCGGAAGGTGCCCCAAGCCCTGCCTGCTCCAGCCTGTGAAGTCATCTGTGGGTAAGCACAGAGAGGCCGAGTCAGCGCTCACCTGGCGAAGGGGCCACTCAAGGGCCACTTAGGCAAGTTTGCAGAGCAGAAGGACCTGCAGGTCCTGAGAGCTGCAGTCACCTGGACGTTTCGTGCAGAGAGGTGACATGAGGTGTTGAGGGCCCCGCAGAAGCCAGTGACAGGCTCGGGTGAGCAGGGAAGAGCCGGAGTGGACTCTGTGCTTGCTGGAGGCCCAGGTTCGATCCCTGGTACCTTAGGAGACCTTGAGCACTAGGGGACAGCTTCCCCAAGCGCAGCTATGTGTACTCCCAAGAGGAAAATAATGGCAGTTTTTAAACTTTGATTTTGGACCATACCTGGTCGTGCCCAGGGCTTATTCTTGACTCTGTGCTCAGGGACCACTCCTGGTGAGCTCAGGGGGTGGAACCCAGGCTGACTGTGTGCCAAGCAAGTGCCATCCCTGCTATCTCTGGCTCTCAGAGGTTTTTGGCTTTTTTTTTTTTTTGGTGGGGGGGGGTAGAGTGAGGAGGGAGGGGTTTTTTTTAAGCTTTTTTTTTTTTTTTTGCTTTTTGGGTCCTGGCTCATGCACTCAGGAATTACTCCTGGCGGTGCTTGGGGGACCATATGGGATTCTGGGAATCGAACCCCGGTAGGTCGCCGCCACGTGCAAGGCGAATGCCCTACCCACTGTGCTATCACTCCAGCCCCACCCCTTTAAGTATCTTTTTAAGGCAAATGAGTGATGACCGTTGAACAACACTGTAAATGTAAAAAAATGCCACCAAATTGTACATTTGAAAATGTTTAAAGTAGGGGCTGGGAGCAATAGCACAGCAGGTAGGGCATTTGCCTTGCAAGCGGCCAACCCGGGTTCAATTCCCAGCATCCCATATGATCCCCTGAGCACTGCCAGGGGTGATTTCTGAGTGCAGTAACCTCTGTGCACCGCCTCTGGGTGTGAGCCAAAAAAGAAAAGAAAAAGTTTAAAGTAGCACACTTTCTGTGTTATGTTTTACAGCATGATAAAAAAAAAATTAAACAGTGTCCAGATTGAGTGGTAGAAGAAACAATAAACTTACACATATTTGGTCACCTGGTTTCTACCAAGGATATTTAGTGGAGAAAGAATAGTCTTTTAACAAATGGTCCTGGAGGGGCGGGGGCGAGGGGGTTAGAGAGGTAGTACAGGGCTAAGGTGCTCGCCTTGCAGGCAGCTCTAGTTGTTACCCTGGCGTAGTGTATGGTCCTGAGCAATGCAGGAGTGGGGAGTATAGTGTTCAGACTGCTTGAATGTGCTGGAACACTGGTGTAGAATTACTGCTCTGAAGTCCAGAGAGAGCTGGGGAGGCACTTGCCTGGCTGACCTGGAGTCATCCCTGAGAGTAGAATCAGGAATGATCCCTGAGAACCGTCAGGGGTGGCTCAAAATTTAAAAAAAAAAAATTGCTACTTCTGACTTTGACGCAGTCTGGCTGGTCAAGGAATGAGGTTTCTCTGAAATCCGCAATACCCGATTTCCAGCTCTGACTGAGGATTGGAGGAAAGGCTTCAGGGTGAATTCAGCCAGGATCACATCTGGACTCTGTATCTCCTGAGTCACTCCTCTCATTCCACTCTCCCGCTCTCCAGGTTTGGGTTGGGCTGGGTTTTCATTTGGGGGCCATGTGCGGCAGTACTCGGAGGCGGCTTCAGTTTTGCGGTGCTGGGGATGGGGCCCAGCCTGTGCTTAGCCCTTGATGCCGTTTTCCCTGTCCCAAGGCTCCAGTTCTTTCATGCGTGTTTGGGTTTTTGGTCTTTTGGTTTCTGGGCCACACCTGACGATGATCAAGAGTTAGTCCTGGCTCTGCACTTAAAAATCATTCCTGGAGGTGCTTGGGGCCATATCGGATGCCACGGGTAGAATCCAGGTTGGTGGCATGCAAGGCAAATGCCCTCCCTGCTGTACTAGTGCACCAGCCCCAAGTTCTTTAATCTATAAAAGGTGAGGATAATTTTGTTAAGAGAATGACAGGCAGATGTGTGTGTGTCTGTGTGTATGTGTTCTGTATGTGTTTCTCTGTGTGTCTGTGTATATGTCTATGTGCGTGTGGCTGTGTGTTGGGAGGGTGGGTTTATGTGTGTGTGTGTGTGTCTGTGTCTGTGTGTATGTATATGTCTGTGTGTCTGTGTCTCAGTGTGTGTGTATTTGAGACCAAGGATAGAATCCAGGGACTCATACAAGAGGAAACCACTAGACCGCTGAGTCACTTCTCTAGTCCTTACGCGAGTAATTTGATTTCTTTTTTCTCTAGGGAATGGGGTGTCCCAGGCCATGCTGGGGTGCTGGGGACAGGACCCTCCAGAGAACAGTGCTGCACGGCTTCATGCTCAGATGAAGTGACTCGTGGCTGCTTTAGTTCAGTTGAAGGACTCCAGGCCACATGGGTACTGCTCAGGGGACCACGTGATTCCAGAACTCCAGCTCAGGCTCACTGAAGGCCAGGCACCCACTCAGCATCTCCCTGGCCAAGCAAGGGACCCTAAACAGTTGAACAATTCTGGTGCCTGTTGTGATTCTTAAAAATCACAAAGCCCAGAGAAGGTGAAGTGAGTGCTGAGTGCTGTTGCAAGAATCTCTGCGCAGGGGCTGGAGCAGAGCACAGTGGGTAGGGCATTTGCCTTGCATGCAGCCAACCCAAGTTCAATTCCCAGCATCCCATATGGTCCCCTGAGCACCACCAGGAGAAATTCTGAGTACATGAGCCAGGAGTAACACCTGAGCATCTCCGGGTGTGACCCAAAAAGAAAAAAAATCTGCGCAGACCTGGAGGGCTGGAGGGAAGAGGGCTAAGGGTTTGACCAAGAAAACAGCCCCCACCCCACCCCTGGCCCGGTCATTCAGGGGGAGCCTACGGCAGAGCTGAGCATGATGTGACGGGGTCTTTGGTCTCCTTCCCAGTAGGGAGCATGGGGTGAGTCACTGCTCTAGCTGTAGCATCCATAGGAGTGAAGGAGATGAAAGTTCTTCGGGTGCCCAAGGGTGCAGCAACTGTTCACTGATATAATTAAAGTTCTCTTGTGGCCATTAAGTTATAAGGAATAAAGTGGACTATGTGGCTATCCCTGTGAATCATGTGCTTCAGACAGAGTTAAGTGTGATATGATGTATATTATCTTTGGGCTGGAGCTATAGCACAGCAGGTAGGATGTTTACCTTGCATGCAGTCAACCTGGGTACAATTCTTCCATTCCTCTCGGAGAGTCCGACAAGCTACTGAGAGTATCCCGCCTGCAAGGCAGGACTTGGCAAGCTACCCGTGGCATATTCGATATGCCAAAAACAGTAACAACAACAAAACACACACATACACACACACACAAAAAAAAAACAGTAACAAGTCTCACAATGGAGACGTTACTGGTGCCCACTTGAGCAAATGGATGAACAATGGGAAGACAGTGCTACACTGCTATATATTATCCTTACAAAAGAACCTGCTCTGTAAAAAAGTTTCTTCGAGAGCCAGAGAGATAGTACAGAACTTAGGGCACTTGTCCTGCTTATGGACAACCCAACCCCAGAGGCCACCAGGAATAAACCCTGAGCACCACCAGGTGTGGACCAGAATTCTGTCCTTCAGTCGCACGGGGACTATTTTGAGATCCCCAAGGATATGACTGGTGACCAAGGAAGCTGGTGTGGGGGGCGGGGCTAGCTGGTGGCGCGGTGCAAACTGGCAGACGTTGTGACTGAGCGTGCCTGCCCCAGTCAGGAGCCAGTCCATCTCCCTTCTGCCCCTCCCCTACTACCAGTGGAGGGCCTCTCTGGCCACCCACACCTCCCTGGCTCCTCGCTTGCATCCTGACTAGCCTCGGACAAGGCCCCCTGACTACCCACCCTGCCTACTGCTGGCCCAGGGTGCTTTAATCCTTCTCACAGGAACTCGCAGGATCAGAGGACCCCATGAGATGGCATCACAGTCAAGTGATCATGTGTCTCTCTGAGTCTGAACCACCGGGACTTGTATCAGATTCCTTCTGCTTCATGGGCCATACCCAGCACTCTAGGATGGAGTTCTGGGGCACTGTGGGGTGGGCCACACATGGAGTCCCCCGGGAGCACCCAGAGCTCCTTCCTCCCTGGTGTGTGGCGGTTGCTCTCTAAATCTAAGGATGCGAGCCTGGCCTGAGCCCCACAGGAGCAAGAGCTGGCCTTCCCTGCACCCAGCCCCAGCCATTCCCTCCAGGGGCCCTTTACCTGCCAGGGCCGGCCTAAGCAGCCTGCCCCATCAGTTCCTGGTATTTCCGTGTCACCTCCTCGGCCTTCAGGGTGAGGCTGGTGAGGATGTGGTGGAGGCTGGAGAAGTGCAGGTGGAACTGGGCTTCCAAGTCCAGGGGCTCCTGGACCCTCTCATCCTCTCGGGCGCCCTCCGCAGGCGCAGTTACCCTTGCAGTCTCCCAGGCTGTTCGCCCAGCCACCCTGGCCTGCCATTCCTCCCGGGGCAGCAGCCCATGGTCCACATCCACGCGGATGGCCTTGAGCATCAGGTAGCAGGGGTAGAGGTCGGGCGGGCCCGCCGGGTCCTGCAGCAGGCTGGGCATCATCACCACCTGCTCCATGTCCCGCACCACAGCCGCGTACCTGTCCATGACGGTCAGGAGGCAGTTCTTAGGGTAGCGCTTGGCGAGCACCTGCATGGCTGTGACTCCTGCGCCCGGACTGCCCAGGAACTGCCGGTGTGGCTCAAGGCTGCCAGTTTATGCTCGGAGCCAACGGCACGCTGGCAGGGGCACGCAGCCTCACGCTCGGCCAATCCTGGGCTCGGGGCCTGGCGCCGGGATCAGGTGATCTCTGCCCAGTGTGGTCTGTGTGCCCAGGGCCTGTCACAGCCCTCTGGGCAGGACGGGCAGCATTGCTCACTCAGCCCTCGCCAGCTCAAAGAGCCAGTGAGAAGGAAATTTCTCCTTTGGCACTGGGTGAACTTGATCCCCAGGCAGAAATGAAGTCCAACAGGTCATCCAAGTTTGTCCCCAGGGCCTCACCCTGGGGCCCAGATGCAGTGGATTGGGGGTGGAGGTCAGCCGTGATGTAGAGGGGACTGGGCAAAGAGCCTGAGTGGAGCCAGCATCCTGTTTGCTGAGCTGTGTGTGTGTGTGTGTGTGTGTGTGAGAGAGAGAGAGAGAGAGAGAGAGAGAGAGAGAGAGAGTGCTTTGCGTGTGGTTGTAGTTGTGGGACTAGACCTGTGTGTGTTTAGTTGTGGCACAGGGAATCAGATATGCTGTGTGTGTGAGGGTGTGTGGTGTGGTGTGTGTGTGTGTGTGAGAGAGAGAGAGAGAGAGAGAGAGAAAGAGAGAGAGAGAGAGAGAGTGACTGTTGGGAGTGCCTGCTTCTCGGTCTATACTGAAGGGCTATGTAATTTCATTTTCATTGCCACCTATGATGAATCTATGCATCTATGTGTGTGGTGAGTGTGAGTGTGGTTATGGTTTGTGGTTATGATTTGGGGAATTTAATTGGGGGATGGGGTGGGAGGGGGGCGTGCTCAAGGGATCAAACCCAGGTCTTCACATCTACAAGAGAAGTGCTCTGCCTCAAGCCACCCCCCTGGCCAAAAAGATAAGGATTTTCATGTCCTTCTCTCCCAGAACTGAGTTTTATAGTCTCTGGGTCTTGGCCGTTGATGGGATTACACGTTGCCAGGGGCCCAGCTGTTGGGTGTGACCCCTGCCTACTGGAATATAGTGGATCTGGGTGGAGGATGCTCAGCCCTGATTCGAGCTGGCTTGGAGATCTCAGCCCTGGACCCGCAAGCCTTTGTTCCTCTGCCGGTACCTTTATGCGTGTGGAGAGTGGTCTCAGCATGGTGGTGGCTGATTCTGGAGGTCTTCAGCTGCCGGAGCTCTGCTCGGAGTGGGGAGGGAAACTCAACCCACCCCACTCTAAGGGGCTCCGGTGAGGACAGACAGGCGTGGAGGCAGGAGACTTTGGGGCTGAGATCTCCAAGCCTGCTCGGATTGGGGCTGAGCATCCTCCACCCAGATCCTCTATCTTCCAGTAGGCAGGTGTCACACCCAACAACTGGCCCCCTGGCGCAGTGTAATCCCATCAATGGCCAAGACCCAGAGACTATAAAACCCAGCTCCTGGAAGCGACATCTTATTATTTCATTCTTACTTTGGACAACCTGGCAGGCTACCGAACGTTACTTGCCCACATGGCAGAGTCTGGCAAACTCCCCGTGGCGTACCCAATATGCCAAATACCAGTAACAATGATGGGTCTCATTCTCCTAACCCTGAAAGAGCCTTGAATATGGCACTTTTTACAATCTCAGGGCTAGGATGAAGGAGACCTTACTGGGGCCTGCTTGAGGCAATCGACGAACAACAGGATGATCGTGATCGTGATCTCTCCCAGAAGGGAGCACAACATGACACTTTCCATAACCATGCCACCAGACCCCGTGCCAGGCTGTTCCATTCTGGGCGCCCCAGAAGGGTGCAGATGAGACCCCAACCCGTCCCAAGGAATTCAGCCCTGGCAGCCAACAACCTCCACAACTCAGCTGCTGCCACGCTCATGGCCACTCCCCACACACTCGGACTGAGCCTCACCCACAAGTGAATCTTTTCCTGGACACTTCATAGGACACACCCTACCCATATTCCAAGAATACCGCACTACTTTTGATAGGATTCAAAGTAGAAGACAGCCAACCTTAGAGCCAAATATTATATTATTTTGGTTCTGCTTTGGGAAAGGGATTGGGGTACAGGATGGAAACAACCCAAATGGGAGGGTGTATGGTGGTGGGATTGGTGTTTGAAAATTAAATGTAATCAAATATTTTGAACTACTTTATAAAAATTAAATTTTTTTAAGAAGAAGATAAGTATTTGGAGCTGAAGCGATAGTACAGTGGGTAAAGTGCTTGTTTTGCATGCAGCCAACCTGTATTCAATCCCCAGCATCCCATATGATCCCCTGATCACGACTGGGAGTAATTCCTGAGTACAGAGCCAGGAGTCAGCCCTGAGAATTGCCTGGTGATACTCCCAAGAGTGTAGAATTCACACAGCTTCTGAAACTGTGCTTTGTAGTTTATAAAGCATTTTTTTTCTTTTTGCGGGGTGGTTGGGGACATCCAGTGTGCTCAGGGGTTTCTCCTGGCTGTCCCAGGGTCATATCTGGTGGGGTTCAGGAGACTGGTCTGCTGGGTGCAAGGCAAGTGGCCCCGAAACCTAAATTAATTAATTAAAAATTCCTATTTTGGGGCTAGGAAGCTAGTGAGAGTTTAGGGTGCTGCCTTGCACCTGTTTGATCTAGTTCAATCCCAGCACTGCATGCTCATCCCCCACACCACCCCCAAGGTCCCCATATGGCAGGGTCTGAGCAGCGGTGACTACATCCTTGGGCCAGAGCACTAATATCTAGCAAAGCTCAGTATCTCTGGGGGTGACCCTCAGCCCCTGATCACTGCATGGGAGGCCTCCCAGATAAAGTGAATACCACAAATGAAACCCCTGCTTGTCTGGAGGAAACAGAACCCCCCTCCCTGGGGCTCCTGAGTGTGGTGTGTGAAGGGCCCAGGCTGCAGCCACATCTGCAGTCCTGAGCTGTCACTGTTAAATGGGCAGAAACTGAAGCTAAGGAAACTGCTTAAAGCTGGACAGTGCAGACTGTAAGCTGCACCCACTGTCCATTCCCCTGCTGCACATAGGGTCTCCTGATCCACCAGGACAACCCTAGAACAGAGCTAGGAGTGACCTGTGAATTCTGCTGGCTATTCTATCATCCCGCAAAAAGAGAAAAAAGAAAATGCATTATAGCTGTATAATCTCCGTGCAGCTAGGGAAGACCCCAGCGGCTCTCCCTCTCACCGCCCAGGTTCGGTGGACTCAGGCCGCTCGCCCACCCGGAGCAGCCCGTGCCATGGGTCATATGAAGGAGCAAATAAGGGCCAAGCCAGGTAGGATCAGTTGCCGTTTGTTCAATTCCCCATGCGCCTGTCCCAGTCTCACTAAGCCCCCCATTCTAGTCTCACACTGCCCCTCATTCCTGTCTCCTCCTGTCTTTCCCACTCATCTCTCTGCACTCCCTCTCACAGTCACGTCTCTCTCTCTCTCTCTCTCTCTCTCTCTCTCTCTCTCTCTCTCCATGCGCCTGCTCCTGCATTCTTCCCCTACATTCTTCTCCCTCTGTCCTCCTTGCTAGTCTCTCCACGCTCCACCTTGTTGCCCCAGTCTGTCTGTCTTATCTCTCCCCAACTCCCTTTAAGAAAGAAATCAACATCCCTTTGATCATGGGCAAAATACCACTTAAGGCGTTTTTCTCCTTTCCTTAGTCCAATAACTTAATTAACATCTTAATTAACATCTTAATTCTACTTATTTATATTATTTTGTATGGAAAAACTAAGAGATACATTGAGGCTTGTAGGGTGGCTCCCTGGGGACATCTCACCAGTCTCAGACTACAGTGCTCAGGCCAGATTAATCTTTTCTAACCCCAGCAGGGTCCAAATCTAGTTATTTCTTTTTGGATCATGACAGCATTTGTCCATGACCAAGCTCTTAACTTATAGTTAAGTATTATGGCACTTTAGCCAGGCCTATTTTGATGACAGGGTAGCTCACAACTTGCCCTGGGTCCATCCAGTCCCTCGATGGGACCCTGCTTTTGGGGTGCTAGGAAGTAAGGTGAGTTGAGGCTTAGGTCTTGAGAACAGATGTCCAGGAGGTATATTATCTGGAGTCAATTAACTCCCATGTTACAAAAGCATAGCATTAACTGTTTCCTTGTGTCCATACAAAAAGGACATTGCTCTGAATTAACTATGCAAAGAACTAAAGGAAAAGAGAAAAAACAATACTTACATGTCAACAGAGCAAAAAGAAAGAAGTTACAAATAAACACAGAGGAATAGAAGCACTATGGTGGGAGTTACCCAATAAACCTAAGCTCCCTGTGGCAAGGACAAACCAATGTTATCCTACAATAAGGCACAAAGCACAGTTCCTGGCTTTGGGTCCTGCACTCGGGGCTCTACCACAGGGACCCACGCAGTCCCTGGGCTGGGACTCTCCCCTCACTGTTACCATACTTTCAGAAACCATGACTCACTGCCCCAGCCTTTGGTCCACAGTCTGGGAGATAAGGTCTCACTGGGCATAACTACGTTGCTGGCAAAGCTGCTATATTTATCTCTGATTTTTAAGTGGAGGCCCAGGGAGAGCTCAGAGTTGCACGGTGAATTAGTGACCAAGTTGAGCAAAGAACAGGACCTGCTGATTTCTGCTCCAGGTGCCTGCAGGGATCTGTGAGGACATAGCCCCAGAGGGAGAGTGTGCTGGGGGCAAGTCTGCCTCCACTGGACACCCTCACCCTCAGGGCACCTCCAACACCTCTGCTGCTCCCTCCTGCTGCCACCACATCACAGCAGCCCCTGGCCTGCTCTGGCGCCTGCCTATGACTGCACTAGACTGGGAGGCTCAGGGAGAAGCATGTCTGGCTCCAGCTCCACACTGCCAGACTAGGCACTGGGGAGCCCTGAGCATCACAAGGTAAATGCTGGGTAAATACTGGGTTTCGTGATCTTTTAAGAGCAACCACGTTTTAAAATGTGATCAAAGAGACAGTCTAGCGGCTAGGGCACTCGCCTTGCATATGGCCGACCCAAGTTCAATCCCCAGCATCCCATGGGGTCCACCAATC